TGCATAGGAGTGGAAGACTGTCACGTAACTCATTCCCTTCGGACAATAGCAGAAGCAATTCATATCCACATCAAAGTTAAAAACCGGATTCTTCAAAGAAGAAATGAACTTCTGCAAAAACAGACAAAACTTGTTTCCCTTGGGAACAGTCACAAACACATGTTTCTTCCTTCTCAACTGCCACTCAATCACATTGCAACATAGCAACCAAATAGAAGCTCTGTTTTGTTTGGGAGAAGGGTTGTTGATCACTACACAGTGGGGCTGCAATCTCTCAAGTTGCTGCCAAATAGCATCTTGACCCTTCAACGTGGAAAAGTTGTATCCTGCCTTAAAACCCATAGGAGATGCAACTCTAACACCATTCTTTGAAAGGAACCAAGATAATCCACTGTTTCCATGAAGTAACTCAACAACATCAGGATGATCATCATTACAAAAGAAAAAGGACTGTTCTCCAAATTCGGCATCCACATACAGTTCGTGATCTTCACGTAAGTTCTCCGGATTCTCATCGTCTAATGCCGGAATGGAAACATCATGCCACTCATCATGATCTCGTCTAACCTTTGACTGATTCACACGTACCACTGCCTTACCAGTGTTGGCTTGGACCATAGCTCCTTCTTGTCCAAGTACTGTGGCACGAACCCAACGTCCTTTATCCTTGAACTTTGATGAATCCTGAGTCCAAATAAAAACCTTCTCACCTTGGAAATAGGGACCGTCACTTGGCATAGTCCTTCTTGCAAGATCTGCTCGAAGGTCCTGAGCTTGTCGTGCTTCTTGATGAGCTCTCAAAGCCACACGTTGTAGTTCCAGATTTGTACGATCTTGTGCGGCTGCACTAGCTGACAATTGCTCAGGGCTTGCGGTCTCAAGGTCAAAAAGATCTGGTGGACGTCTTCCAGTTGCTATCTCTATTGGTGAATATCCACTGATAGTCAACTGACAATTTCTTGCCCAAACTACTTTCTTGACCACTTCTCTGACCGTAACACCACGAAAACGTGGGTCATCCAGATCTACTTTCATAACATGCCACATACGTTTGAACAAACGTACAGCTGTCTCTGCTCGGTTCGGTCAAGGAGTTCTTGGTCCACAAGGACATTGTTGTATACCATGAAACCTGTAGTATTCAACAAAAGCATCTGTGAAAAAAGGCTTCGTCTCCTACGATGGCCTTCGGAACACAATTGTTCTCATCAGACCATTGTCTCAATGCTTGGATGGTGGTTTGATCTATGAGGTCTTTCTGTGCCGTAGCCCAGAGAAGATTTGTGGCACCATCAAGAACAAGTAGAATGATATACTTGTTCTTGTGAAGTTCAACCTCACAATGATCAGCAAAAACAACATCACCAAAACATGAAGCTCTAATACCGGAGACTCTGGCTCGTGGCGGAGGTGCCACTGAAGTGTTACAAACACGGCAGTTCCTGACAACTGATTCATACTTCTCTAAAACAGAGTCAGGAAGCTTCAACATAGAAACACGTCTACGAAACTGAGTAGGACTCATATGGTAGTGCTTCACATGAAGCTTATAAAGCTCTACCTTGTCCTCCAGTCTCTGTAACATCTTCCTATATGCCGGTGTCATTGCAACAACTTCACTACCAGGTAATGGGATTGAAATCCGCCTAGGCTCAAGAGCGCCATCACCTGGTTCAAGTGGTTCATGTTTATCACTTGATGGTCCTTTTGATGCTTTAGGAATTTCTACAAGTTCACCTTCTGACCTCTCAGGTGGTTGAGGGAGTATACTCCTCAAGATCATCACCCTTTAAATCATGTGAGGGCTCAGATGGTTTCAACTTGTGTCCTTTCCAAAATGGATCATAACCCTTGGAAGTATACCGAAACTTTGGCGGCACGGGCTTTTCCGCGGCACTGGATGGTGCACCTTCCTTCTCTGAAGAGAAGCCTGGTTCCCTGTCCTTTGCAATGGGAACCTTCTCTGAGGAGGAGCGCGCCACTGCATCGGGATCACCAATGCCACGGTGCTCAATGCCAGCCTTCCTGATCTTTAGATCTGGAATTTTGGCATCTGGCTTGAACTTAAAAATTGTTCTACCACGCCATTCATAGCCAATTTGTAGGTCCTTCCATTTTGCCTTGCGCCAATCATCTATCTTCTTGATCTCTTCTCCTCCTTCTTTCTTCTTGATGATTGTCAGTCGCAAGTCTTCCAGCAAGTCAGTGTCTACAGGACAGGACTTAGTTGCTGGGAAAAGAATCTTCCTGTAATCCTTGTGGTGACGTGTCAATTCTCTCTTGTGAAGATCTACTTCCCAGTAGTCAACCACAGGATATGCATGCTCAGCTTCATCTTCATCACTATTGCGATCAACCGAAATATGGCCATATTCATAGTGAGTGAAGTGAGAGTAAAAGCTCTTCTCGCGCCGAGCCTGCAAACGCACGTCAGACAGATACCAAGCAATATCTTAGAAGTCCAAAACAAGATGAGTACTGGCTGCAACCTTCAACTCCAAAAATTTGATACCAAGAGGCACCGATGTCAGGTAAGCATGTTGAGGTGTCAGCCTGAGTTCAAAGCCTAAGTTCCTCATCTGTGGCAAGCTCATAAGCAAAGGGACTTCTCCTTCTTCAACTATGTCGAACTCTGTATTGTGGATCGTCCATGCACGATCATACATGTAAATCACCAGTTTCTGAGAGCAAGTAGCCTTCTGAGAATTGGCAAAGTAAAACTTGCTCTTGGTAGACTCAAAAGAGTACCATAGTCCACAGTTTGGGTGATTGTCGACATAGTTACAAAAATAATCGACTGCACGCCTTGATCCCATAGCTCTAGTGCATCCAATGTCCAGGATTGCAATAGTTGGCGGGAAGCGATTCTCAGTCAAAAATGAAATAGCCTGCATCTCTTTCACTTCTTCCTCAGCGCTCATAAGCGCAAAGCCATCAGGAGCATCTGTGAGCATCTCCTTTGACAAAGAGTACCTCACAGGGGCACTCATGTCATCGAAGATCATCTCACCATTGTTGACCTTACAGTCAGCTTCATCTTGACATGAGGTCATCATGCCTGACAGCAAGTTCACCTCACTGTCATGGACTTCAACTGCTGTTGTCACACAATGCGCAAAGAAACCTTGGTGGCTTCCTGATGCTTGTGAAGATCTTGAAGGTGCAGGCAAAGAACGTGGCTGTTGTTGAATTGCATAGTTTGCATCTTGTTTGCCATCTCCTTTATCTTTTCCTTTTCCTTTCTTGCCTTTTCTCTTGCCTTTTCCTTTTCCTTTGTGGGAAAACCATGCTTCTTCAAGTTGTTGCCAAAAGTCATGGGCATCTTCATGTTCTCCTTGAAGATAGTCATTCATATCTTCGGCAAGAATAGCATCATATGCTACTTGGTTTGACTCCCAAGTGTCCTCATAAGGATTCTCTTCAAAATACTCATCTGGATAAGTTGTCGATTGCTCATCAGCATAATGGCCTTTACCTCGTCTCTTTCCTCCTTTTCCTTTTCCTCGAGGTCTGAAAAATCTGCGGCCTGATCTTCCTTTTCCTTTTCTTTTTCTTCTACCTTTTCCTTTGCCTTTTCTGGCTCTTCTTCCTTGGAATCTCCTCTGGAACCAAGAGAAATTCTGTTCATCATATACCCAAAAGACATCGTCCAGGGCATCAAGGAATCCTTCTGTTCCATCTTCTTCATCTTCGGCCCAATAGCCATATGTACCATCGAGTTCTCCTTCGTCTAATACGAGAAATGATCTTCTACCTCCAGCACCTGTTGGCTGCATCAATGGATTGTCTACTGAAGTCTTTGTTGTGCAGAACATCTCAATGAAAACTGTCCTCAACTCTGTTGTGGTGTATTGCTGCAGGACTCTACCACGATGAGTCATCAAAGAGGTCAAAGCGTTCCTCTGGTCCTGAGATAAATCCGCAAGTGACAGCATGAGTAAGGCAATGAGATTTTCTCCTAAAGGAAAACCGTTCTGATGAAGAATTCTCAGATTGCCATTGACATTCTGCATGATTTCCTGAATTCTTTCCGCTGTTGGAGCTACTCCAGTCATCGCTGCATCAGCTTGCATCTGAGCTTGTACCTGAGGATGTACTTGTGTTACTGGATCCAACATGTCCATCCAACTGCTCATAAGCCTTTGGAGTAAAATCTGAAATCTTGTCATCCACTTCATCATGTCGGCTGATCCGCGATTGAAGCGCACGAATTGCATAAACCTATACAGGAATACATTGGTTATTGGTTGATCCTTTCACAAAATATGGTCGTAGTACTCGTTTGAAGTATTCTACTCCAGCTCCTGGTGGATCATTCGCTTTCAATGCATCTCTGTCTAATACTCGTTTGTATACAGCTGCTTCTCCTTCTAATCTGTTTCTCAATGCTGGTCCTCTCTTCTCATCTTCCAGCTCGGTGATATCACACCAATCGTCTATGGCATCCTCATAGGAAAACCATGAAGTCTTTCCATCATAAGATGGGGGCACCTTTGTAGTGACCTGTGTTGTCATTGCTATTGCTGCTGGTTCTCTTCTCACATGCCTATTCACATAGGCTGCTGGCTCATAAGCCACATCCGCATCAGGCTCTTCCCAGTCGTCAATCCAATCCATGGCCGTTTGCCTACAAGCAAGTCTATGCCTAGGAAAGGAGCTCACCTGGGTCTTCCAGGATCACAGCTCCGCTACCACTGAAAGAGTGACTAGGGCGTACACGGTTGAGGTGCAGACCGCTAGTGTCTTTTATGCGCAGAGTCTTATCCTCTTGTCTTGAGCCTTATGGCAGTCAAGTATGGACACACTAGATAGGCCCATGGAGTGGAACCTGTACAAGTAGGCCTCTACATTTCAAGGGGGGGGTTAGCGTGATATATCAAGCTTTAAGGCACACAGCTCATCCCACTACCAATTGCTAAAGCAAAGAAGAACTCAGCTAGCATGCTAGCTTTCGTGACTTGAGGCCACACAGTTCCCATCTTCGTGCTCCGTGATCCCGCCTCTTTTTCAACTGCTGCCATGGGCAGCAAAGCCTGCGGCCAGCAGAAACTGTTGACACCAGGGTCCAACTAGCCCCGCAAACTGCCAATGTCAACCGACAGGCGAATCGTAGGGGCGACAGGGGCGACAGGCTGATCTGCCAAAGCCTGATAGCTAGATCATCGCCTGAGAAAAGCTGAATCTTGCCTCCTATCATGATCACTGAGCTGGCTCCTCCAATATGTGTGTGTTATTTATACGAATATATATATATATATAAATAATCGAGATATATGTGTAGTATATAACAATATTTACAAATATGCAATATGTGATCTATCATGATATATCTACCTACTGATTCTTGGGCTTCTTCAAAGTATGATGCTCTGCGAGGCAGGCATGGACATGTCTAAATCTCGACTTCTCTGCCTGCTGAAAGTGCGCTCGTCCAAAAGAAGGGCACCACGAGCTTCTTCGGTCGGGCGACCGGCCTTCTTGTCGCTGGAAGATTGCAAAAGCATGGTGGCACCTGAGAAGTCTGACTGGAGTCAAGCAACTTGATTATACTTAGAACGTCCAATTTTTTCCAAAACCCGTTGCACCAGTAAGTATACAGTAAGTCTTTGACTAGTTCTTTGACTATAATCTCTTTCTCCACGACATCAACCTTGATACTAGGTATTAGATGTGCCATCCTGCACGGCACTCTCCGCGCGGCGGGAGAGAAAAGCCTAGAAAAGCCTCGCCTCAAGGACTCCATTTCATGTTCACTGAAAGCCATAACTCCAAACCCAACATATTTAACCAAACCAGTTCTGAACAATTGGGTGCCCATGAAAGGCCCCCGGGCCCCCGGCCCACATTTCTCATGTTTCTCAGTGTAGCCGAAGTGCCTCGGTAGACCTTCACGACGTCTCCCTGCTTCCAGTAGTTCAGCTTTCCCAAGGCCTCACAAGCAGGAAGACAGAAAATGAATGAAAATGAAACTTTATCAGATCTGTGCATGGCCCACGGATCCCGCTGTCGTTCGTATATTTTCAGTTCGGGCATGATGGTCTTGCAATCAAGCAAGATCTGCACTAAAGAGCGCCAGCCAAAACCCCCTCCGCGCGTATGGCCCACCGCGCCATTCACGCACGCCGCCCCGCCCCAAACGGGTCGTTTCGCCGGCCGTACCGGGCCTTGCGGGCCACGCGCACCGTGAAGCTGCGATACCTAGCTCCGGGGGACGGAATTCCGGGCGGATGGATGGGGCCAGGGGACGACGCACCAGATCAGTGATCCAATAGTGATCCAGGCCATGGCCCCCTCCCCAAGTTCGGATCAGGCAGGTAAGGACGCTTCTTGATGCTTGTTGGACGGCCCGGAACGTGGCCTGGACTCGTCTCCCTGTCGCTTCACCCCCTACCCCACACACCACGCCGACGGCTCCGAGGTCGGGCACGCGACATCCGCATCACCTCGAGGGCGTCCGACGTGGGACCGGTCGACCCGTGCTGGACCTGGTGGTCCTGTGACCCAGGGGGCGAGTCCAAAGGAAACCGGGCACTTCACTCGTTAGTGGAGGACTCCCAGGTGGTCAGGCATTTTTTTCTGGTGAGACCGTGAGATAGGGAAAAACCATGAAAAACGGATCACTGTCCAGTCGGTTGGCTCCAAAACCGTTCAGCCAAAGTGTCAAGGTAGATGGCACAGCCGTCAGTTTTCCAAACATCCCTAAACCATGGTGGTTGAGACCACCTCTTTGTGTCTTGGTTGAGACCACCTAGTCGGGTCGGTTTCACCTGGCTTGAGGTTTCGTCGGGCCTTGCACACGGTCACATCCAAATCAACGACTGTGAGCGCGGCTGGTCAAGTATCGCTCTTGTGGGACCTCAGAGGAGGTGCTTGCGGCATCAGTATTCATCGGTCACATGAAGACAAACCTCAAAAGCCAAAAGGGGAGTGGAATTGATGGGTCCACCCCTCCACTGCTCTGCAATGCTCTGCATCCATCCAACTATACGAATCTCTGCTCTCCTGGGCTGCGCGCGTCCACATACTCGTGGATGCGGGCCTCGTCAGGTCGCCCGAAGTTACGGCACCCGAAAATGGCAAAGTTCTCTGGGTTGAACCACCAGCTTCCTTGGATGAGCTTTGTAAAGCTGTGGTCTATCAGTATCATCGGGTCGCCTCAGGCGAAGAAAAAAGGGCGGTGGATTCCACTCCAACGAGGTTTGTGTTGAGGTGGAATAAGCTGCCAGCTCGCCTTCTCTTTCTCCGTGTCATGGGCCAATGGGACACTTTGTGACTGACATTGACCACCGACCAAATCGCTCGCAAACTGATGAAAAATCACGATCCCAACACCAAACCGGAGTGTTCGCCGACCTCGCCCACGTGTCCCGACCGGGTTCCGGTCCGACCAACGGCCACCCGGGTGGCATGTCCAGGGGCCCCACCAGCGCAATGAGCTCAAAGAGAGATCCAATGGCACCTGAGCAACTCCCCAACCTCCGCGTTCCCAGGGTGCCGAACAGGGCAAGACCGTCCTCATCCTTCCTCCATGTCCACAACGAGGATGAGCAGGTTGGCAAGCTCTAAACTATAAGGAGCTCATGTCAGGCGTCTTCCATGAACTTTGGAGACCGACTAAATTATAATATTTTTTAAATCTCACGGAGCACATTCAAGTCTTTCATGTATGAGACAGGGAGGAACTGTCAATGCGGGATGTCTGTCATAGGCCCTGAACTGTCAATGTTGCTCTCAATGAGGTTCTGCATCAACAAGAGGTTGGTAATGCCTCAGCGCGCACCGGGAATTGCAGGGATGCACCTTTTGTTCGGGGGAACATGCACGCGGACCCCCAGTGGCACCAGCATGCGCCCGCATGTGGCGAGCGCATCAACCCAACTGGACCAACTGGACAGCTGGGCAGCTTTGTCGAGTGCAGTGCGAAAAGATCGGCACTGGCTGATCTGCCAGGCCGACAGGATGAGGCTGCGGAGTGGGGAAAGGTCGTCATGAAAACCTTTGCCCGAGTAGGAAAGGCCAAGTGGCAAATGCCCAGCGTTCCAGCGCCCACCTTGTCGGGGTACATCAGCGCGGCCTGGGTACATTGGGCAGCGCTCGCGAACAGGTCTGTGCATGGACATCGAGTCTTGTGCAGCTTTGCATTGATCATGGGTCTTGTTGAGGCCCCCCAGAAGGGGAAAAACCGACTTTGATCTGCTTGATGGGCCAAATGTTCATCTGTCCTCCTTGTTGCCATGCCTGCCTTGCGCGCAATCGCCACTCTCAGGCGTTCGCCACATAGGTGGTGCTGGTCATAAAACTCCACCTCGTCGACCCGCGCGACCCGGGCAGAACGGGTCAGGCCCCAGGACCCCCCACGGCGGTCGCGAGTCGCGACACTTTGGTTGAGCAAAGCCACAAGAAGTGGATTCGATTTCCCAACCAGCGCCGGAGAACGTTGTTGCTCATCATGCAAACCTCGGACATGAAGAAAGGCAAGGCATCTCTAGCACACATGGACAACATGAGTGGGTTCGAGGCATCCGCTCGTGCAGCAGGTTGAATCAATCTGTTCATCTCAGTTAAGGGATAGATGGGATGGTCGAATAGGGACATCCAGCAATAGAATAATGCTTCACATTCTACATCATTTTACATGCGTGTGCAGTATCACCAAGCACGCCAAGTACGCTGGACGCTGGATTCTCTGCCCTGCCTTCAAGGTCTTGTCCACTTGAAGGCACCTCATAGCTTGAGCTATGACTGCCACCTCTTGGCTACCTGCTGTCCTTCAGCTCCAAAAAGGATGGAAAAATTCGCCAAGCCCAGACCCACATGCTCTGCAGGTCACTCTGCCCACAGTTCTGTCTCTGAGATTCCCACATTTCGTCTGACAACCGCTTCTCGTCTCCATAGGCGCGGATCGCTGCCTGGGCGACCGGGGCGACCGGCCCGTCGACATACGTCGACCGACCGAGCTGCGAACCACCGAGCCGAAGGACCACCGAGCCGACGAACCAGTCACGTTCGACGGGGTGGTGTGGCTTGTCCCCAAGTGTGTTTAGTCCCCAAATAAAGTGAATATTCTGGGCACCCCCACTTCCTCCATGGATAGCACCCCGTCTTGTGACTGCTGGTTTCCAAATATCCTTTCAACTTGGAATCAGTGGCTCGGCCAACATCCCCAGCGACTGAAAGTGCGTCTTTGAGAAGGAAACCTCGAACACCAGCCACCGGCGCGTCCAGCTTTGCCGCCGCGTCCAACGAGAAATGCCTGAAACATCGTGGACGTTGGTGATTTTAGTACAGTCGTCACCTGGGACCAGCATGGCAGTCACGTTTTACGAACCCTTTTCCGGTTTCCCACACAAAATGCCCCACAAAAGGGAGACACTTAGGGAGACTTCACCAGTTTCACCAGGTAGGAAGCTGCTGCCAAATCCTCAGGGTTCCTCACCGTGCTGGACATCACATCGGTCACCAAGCCGTTCATGTCCTCAGCACACTCCGTTCGTGTCTAACTGTCGAGGCTTTCTTGACTTCGAGTCTAACTGCAGCTGCCATGCAACATGAGGAGCACTGGGTCTAGCCATGCGGCACCTGTTTCCACCACCTGTGAAAAACAATGGTGTGTTCATCACCCTTCATATTGCACTGGAGGAGGAGGGGGGGGAGGCGAAAAGGGCGGGAACTGACAAGGAGATGTGCAACCTGCAGCCCTCCCACCCATCTGAACACTCCTCACAGTCCAACGATCAGCGCACTCCCTCAGACTCAGCCAGCCACGCTCTTGGCCGAGGCAAAGCAATAGCGCATCGGCCTGCAAAAAGAAGACGCAGAAGGGTCCACCGGACAGCGGACCATGACACCATGTGACACCATCCGGCCAACCCATCCAGAAACGGCCAGGGGCACACTGAGGTGTTCCGGTAGCGCTCATAGATGTGGTAGATGAGGTAGTAGAGGGGCAATGCCCTGAGTGACCGTCCAGCGTGCCACGAGCAGCTCGACGCAAAAGAAAAAATGCGCGCGTTTTTTGAGTGAGGCTGAATCTGGTGACACCGGTCAAGAACCCCGTAGTATGTTGGGTCTTAGAATGTGGTAGAAGTAAGTAGTCCCTTTGATCTTGCTTTAGTTGAGTTAGTTCCTCTGCTCTCTTCAAATGCTGGCTGCTGGCCTATGATGAAGATGTTTCCATGAGTCTCAAGCGTTCTCTCGTGTCGCAACCCCGAGGATCCCGTTGACCTACAAATCCTCTGAACTTGCATCATGGTGAGCACATGCGGCGCCAGGCAAAAGAACTTCCTGGCACTGCGTCACTGCGGCAGGCTCACTGCTGAGGCCAGCACATGACTGTGATGATGGCTGGCACCATGGTGTGCACCTCACAGGCGCACCCCACACATGGGTGTCACAGAAACAGAAAACACAAGCGCCTCTGCATGTCCTTCACTGGAACGTCGCTGTCTTTGTACCGACGTGACGGGTGTTTTTCCACACGTGGCGGCCACCCTCATCGCGAAAGACGTGCGATTCCAATACCATCTCCGACATGAATGTAGACTCTTGATGAGTAAAACCCACCCCAATTGTTTCTTGCACTCACTTGCAGGCGGTTCGTCCACACAAACCAAACCCTTAGTCATGTTGCACTGCAATTGGGTGGAAAAACCTCTGCCGTTCGTCCAACGAGGGGTTTATGAACCAAGAGCCTACAGTGGGTCTATCCCATTGCCAGTGACAGTGGATGATGATGGTTAATGGAGGCCGTTCTCAAAAACAGTGATAGTCTTTTACTGACTGTTGCTGGTAATGGGCTACACCCTAAGTCTACATTAAGAGACATTAAGAGACCCTCTGTGCATCGCACGTAGATCAAGGGGACGATGGTCCCGTAGATGATGGTGATGGTCAAGAGGCTCTTGGCGTACAGGGACAAGTCCACACTGGCCCTGGGCGGCAGAGATGCGCAAAGCTGGAGACGTTCCTAGTGCATCCCGCCGACCTTTCCCCGCGGATGTTCGGTCAGACCAGGACATTCCAGCAAAAATACCTTGGATTCGACTCCTTTCACTGAAGACCCTTCCTTCCAGCAAATGTGGAGTGGACCCGTCAAAAGGGATGTCAAGGAAAACAGATGCCATTGTCAACTTCCACCTGTTTGTTTTTTGGGGCATGGAGGGTTATACAGTGCACTTCTTGACTGTTCGGTCTTCGGAAAATTGCAATCCTTGCAGGGCCATGTTCCAGTGTAAGATCCAAGGATTCACAGCACCATGCACATCTTCTTCATGGCTACGCAAAGCGACGAGTGGGCCAGCATCCCGCGCGCCGGCGCGCCCAGCGCCTCCCCCCCCCGGCACCGCCCTCGGCGGCCCCGCAGGTCGCCGACGAGGCGGCTCATGATGCGTCCCACGGGCTGCTTGTCGAAGAATCGATCCACTGGAGCTCGGAGCAGCCTGGAGAGCGGAGCGGCGCCAACATCGACTGCTAGGTTTCCGGGGGGACGGGGAGACCCGAAACGACGGGAGCGGGGGGACAGGGTTCGAGGGTGCTGGCTCAGGTGCTTTGCTCAAGCAACTCGCAATTTTAGAGTGTTCTAGGTCTATGGTCGTGACCTCAAGGTCCTTGATAGGTCTATGTCATTCTATGTCTATATATTATCAACAAACCGGCAAGCGCATCTGGATGTTCATTGACAAAGTGATCACTGCAATCAAACACACGAAGCAACTGGAAGAAACATGCCTTTTTGGGAGCTCACTGGCACAAATGCTTAGCTGACGCCAGGCACCCAGGAAAATGAAGCCTTTCGGCTTCAAGACGATGCCTTCAAACCTTCAAAACCCCGCTGGTGAGTGAAACCTAGTGCAAAATGCTGAGAGTATCCAAGAGGGTGCGGATCATCTGCACTGGAATCTGCAGTAAAAATGGAAACGATACCAAATCGTCACACCAACAAGGACCAACCAGAGTATTTCGCCAAAGTGAACCGTGCTCCCGAAGAAAACCTCGTTCACTCGAATGGTCGTTTCCTCCTTCTGCCTACTCTCCGGTCAAACCTCTCAGATATGCAAGTTGCTGTTTCGAACCCGGTCAGACCTGATCAGTCGTAGCGGAGCAGCTCGACTTCGAAGGAGCTTTCGGCATCTTCCATGAGCTTCAACAAGAGTTGACTGTTGCCCCGGCGACCGTCCACGCTGACAATCCGGCTGGGAATGTTGATCACATCTTTCGGAGCAGCTCTGGCATTGTGCGTCTGGAAGACTCCATCGGTGATGTTGCCTTAGGACGCAATGGGGGTGAGAATGAAACAATTTTACCTGGACCCTCCAAGGGGTGTCCAATGGACTACCCCACACTACCTATAGGCTTGCATTGGGCACCCCTTGGAGGGTCCTGGTATACACACACAAAATCGCAAATCCCTACTGCAGATGTTGATCAGGCAAAGGTGACCAGGCAGGGAAGTTTGGCACAAATCTTTCACCTTCTCTTGAGAACTCCCAGGTCGCTGATGAGAAGGAAGGTGGGCCCATGAATCACGGTGATGCCGAGCTCCTGCCAACGGCGGGGGAGGGGGCCAATCATTCGAATTAACAACGGCAGAAATGAATGGGAAAAATGGAAAATGCATGAAAATGCCAGGAACCAAGTGTTGGTCTCATGATCCGGACCATGCTCTCCTGGTCCCTCTTGAAGAGCACCACGCGCTGGAAAGAGGGCCTCTGCACGATCAAGGTGACTGGGCCAGAGGCCGAGCGCAACATGTCCATCATCTCCTTCCCTTTCAGGTTCTTCTTTTCGTTGAAGGACATGAGGCGATCATAGGGTCGGATTCGCCGGTCCTTGTCATCTTCGCCGCTTTTCCCAATTTTCTCATTCCACTCTGAGACCAAGGTTCCATCGATCACCTCGGACAAATCAGAAGCAAGAGTATGTGATTAATGATGGCCACGCTTGTCTAGTGGATAGAGGGTAGATGGCACAATCCCCACAACGTGGTTTTCGATGGAATCTAAGAGACATCTTGGGGTTTGTGCCATCTATACCCACCTGAAGACTCTTGGCTCAAGTGGTGATTTGTATTACATTTATGTAGGAAGCCTGTCGCAAGCCCGATCGTGCAACCCCAATGCAGGGAAAGATGTTTTTACAGTATCACGGCAAAAAATGCATGTCACATGATCTAAACTGTTGATGAATCAAACCCCTCCCATTTGGAATGTAAAACCGGCCGGCTTCAACAGCTGACCTGATCCCTCGATCTGCACCCACCTTGGTCAGCACCACGTGGCCCTCTTTTGGGCGCCAAGACGCCGAGTTCACCAGGCAGACCTTCCCCGCCGCGCTGACATCCACGCCAAAGCTGGAGGACGGATTCCGATGAAGCTCCACGGTGAAGGTGGCGGCCTTCCGCGGTTGCTCAAAGACCACCTGCATGGCAACGCAGGAAACGCTTTCAAACGCGGTGGTGCCCTTTTCTGTGGGGGGGACAAGTGAAGTCGTGGTGAGCTGGGCTTCGACAAACTTTTGAGCTGAGGGTGAGAAGGTCGAATCAATATTTGAACGCTTCGGTTGTGGCAGAACCTGCCCTCGTCCTCTCCCCTCACACTCTCAACAGTAGCTGCCGTCTTTGTGTTGCTGACATCACCTGCCCCACAATATCCAAGTGTATCCAAGTTATATTTGGTGGCGTCCTTGCAAGCACGAATATGGTAAGTATTGCTGTCAGTGCTGTGCATACACAGTTGTGGGGTTCCACCACTATGCTGCCAGACCCTCGACAGAAAGGGACTCCAAACGTCTCTCCGCCCGGGCCAAAACCCCGAAACACAAGGCAGCCCGCTTCGAACAGGCGTGACATGTGGCTAGATTGCCAAGGTGTTCTACGCGTCTGGGTCGCTCAAATCTGTCCTCCCCGCCTCCTTCGCCACTGGCTTGGCCTCAGTTGAGGCCGACCCAGCGCCAGCGGCCTCACCGCCCCGACTTGCCGTCTCGGGCAGCACCTGATCGGCCACCACGGGTGCTTGGATCTCCAGCTCCTCCGAGGTCTCGCAACAACACCACATAGGGACGGTCCCGTTTGGAGGATGGACAGTCACCAGCTGCGAGCCGAACGGTCGTGGGAAATGTCGTTGAGACGAGAGTCGGGCAAGGCACATGCAGTTGGACGGTCATCAACCACTGTTCCACTGATGTCGGACCATCTGAGATATCTAAAACACATCAAAAACCTTAAGTTGATGAGAAATTATGCTGCTTTCATCAAACCATTGGGCTCCTGATTGCAACAATCAGGAGCCCCAATGGAAAGGGGGGACACCTCTTCTCACAGTTGGCAGCGTTCTCGGGTTCTGAGGCATCGGCTTGTGAAGGACACGGTCATGGATCGCGGCAGACAAACGCATGGTGAAGGCCCTCGGTAGCCCCGCCCACGGCTGAAAAGGAATGGACAGAACTGACCGTCACTCGGTGGGGCCACCGAAATCAATGAACCTCAAAGGATCTCAAAGGTGTGTAATTCACTGTACTGGCGCACTGAGAAGCAATGAGTGCCCTTCATAGTAGCTGCTCAGCTTTTGCATCACATGGGCCCATGGCTCCCCTCTGAGGTCCCACACGTTCCTTCCCGCCAACCCAGAACCCAGGCCACCAAGGAAAGGCTCAACCAGAACCTCAAATATCTGTAAAGCTTAGCCACTAGAGTCACTAGAACAAAGAAACTGTTAGCAATTTACAACCAGTCAAGAAAAACCTGGTGGTGATGTTCAACAGCCGAGGAAGCAAATATAGTCGAGGACGAGGGTTAGGCAGAAAAATATCTGCCAAGAACCCCCGTCGCCGTTGACTAAAGTGTTCATCGGCCGGTCAGTGTATTGAGAGGCCAACCAGTAGTAAGCATATACGGTTCTCGGAGGAATTGATCGCACACATATCATTGTACAAGTCTGCTTACTGCAGTGCACTTGCCAGACCGACCGTTGGCATTGAGCCTGAAGCCAACCACACACACACTGTTTCAAGCTCAGGGCAGGATATTATATTGAGGTTCACTGGAGATATAACAGGATAGAGCCATGTCTATTTATATAGATTTTGATAGAGACATGTCTTGGAAAATGTTCTTTTGGTTCATTGACTATATATATATAGATTTGATAGTTAGAGCCATGTCGGAGCCCTCCGATGCCCTCACGGGGCAACTGGAGTGGGCCAAGTCAGCTTTGACCTTTTTGGGAAAGGGTCAGGAAGATGTTCTGCTGTGGCAGGGCCGCCCGCTTGGAACATCATCCATGTTCAGTGGTTCTTGCTATCCGGAGCACAGTCTGAGCTTCATCAACGCAGCCCGTGAGACGGGCGAATAGAAAGGCGGTGGCTTGGAGATATGGACGGGCGAATACCACGCATCACTGGGCCCATTATATTCATATATATATATATGTACTAATATATACTATTTAGACATGTTTCCTATATACTATATATATATATTACCAAAGAAACTTCTTTTCAAGCAATCTTTTGAAGATTCTGATTCTCCTGCCCTTTAAATCCGCCCCAATGGCAGAATTTGTTGCGGCCAGTTCCGCACTCCGTACAGAGCATGTATTTTTGAGACAATCTGGGACGGGAGGAAAATGCTGACGGGCAGCTTTGTCAACCCACAACTCTAGAGAGACGGAGGGAGGGGGAGGGAGGGAGAGAGAGAGAGAGACAGAGAGAGACAGAGTGAGAGAGAGAGAGAGTGAGAGAGAGAGAGAGAGCCCCCCCAGTAAGCAGATTGGATGAGCACTTCAGAGTGACCCCCAGTAAGCATATTTGTAGGGACTGCACACTATCATAACCCAACATGTGTACCCCCCATCTGCTTAATTTCGAGTGGGAGTTTTTCTGCCTAATGGTTGTCCTTGACTATATATAACGCTTGTGGGACGCCCGTGCCTGGGGGATGATCTTAAGAATCTAATAGCAGTGTAATTGAATTGTTTTCTGTATCTATTTAATCATGAAAAGCTGAGAGTTTGAACATGTCGAATCACACATGGGGCATCAACCGAGGCCGCAGCAAATAGGCAGACAAAAAGGGTCTTGCTGATGCCTGGCGTTAACACGCGGTCCATACAGCTGTCATTGTTCCTTGGCCACGGCGATCGGCACACTCCCTGGGCCAATGATCATGGGAGGAGAACAAAACCGCCATGTCTTGTAAAGGATGATCATCCAAGGGGCCATGTCCACTCCCATGCTCGAATCGATCATCCGGGTGGCCGTTTCTCCCCCATCTTCCTTGGAACAAGAGCCACGGAACGATACGGAACGATCCGGACTCTGTGGCTTTCCCACACCCCAGCACACTGGCTGAACCCAGAACCAGGTCGACCTTCCCACCCGATGATCTTGCACCCTGCGGTCGCCTGCGGGTTGATCGACAAAGCATTGCACCAATGGGCAATGACCTGCCGTGCTCCGACCGCGGTTCGGCGCGGCGTGACGGCATATACTACGGTCCGCGGTCCAAGTGCCCCAACCAGGTCGCACAGGAGAAAGAGGTAGATCATCACCATGAGCAAAATGCAGGCCTTGCAGCGGATGAAGTTTTTTCATCTGTCAAGCTCTCCAAGTTTGAGCCCAACTCAAAAAAGAAATCCAACTTCCGGAAACACCACCTCTAGCGGAGGCGTTCCTTCTTGAGGTTCTCCTGCCTAAAGTCTTTGATAGTCTTCGAAATTCTTGGGGGTTGATTCTTGGCGTGAAAATCTTGCGTCGAACTTCTCACACACCCGCACACACCAACACGATTTTCCCATGTTCCCAACAATCGGCCCCCCTTCTCCAGGTCCACCATAAGACGTATAAGTGGCGCGTTCCAATAGTGATCGTAACTGAACTGTGCAACTAACTATTCCATCTTCCATCCACAAAAAAAATCAAACCTTCAGAATTCAAATCCAGTGGCATCATGTGTGGTGGTCCCCTCTACATTGACATTGACCCCACATAGATTGACCTGTCTACATCCATCACACACACACACACACGGTGAAGACCCCCAGCAACACCAATAACTGGATCCAACAGGGAGCTTGGCCCGTCCCTGGCCGCCGAGCCGTCAAGATGTGCCGATAGCGGCCGATGCTGATGTAGTCTCTCACAAGGGCCACCTCAACAGCGGCAAGGACGCTGTGTGATGTGGGCGCCCATGCAACCTTCCGCACGCAGGTGAAACGCACCTTCTGCACAGGTGCTTTGGTTGACAAACCATGTTAATTCACCAGCAGGGGGTAGCTGCAGATCGCTTGGAACCACTGAAGACGCCCATTTGATCTGGTGATATCAGAGTTGGCCACTCTGACGTGCCTGCTACATGTTCATGGTGATTTTATGTGATTTTCATGGACGAAAATCCTGCTTCACTTGAGACCAATATTGTCTTGTGGACTTTTTGACCTTGCCGTTCACCAGCCGACGTCTAGTGCTGTAACTGGAAAGTACGATACCTTTCATCTCATGTCCACTTTCTGACCCACTGTTCATGGTGCTCTCTTCAAGAGCATATCTGGAAGTGTGGTCTTTCTGTCGCACATTCCTCTCAACCCTCCAGGCGGCCGTTTGAGGTGAGGAACTCACCTGCAAAAGTGCCCACAAAAACCGAGGAGTTCGATGTCACGTCGCAAATCCTGCGATTTCATCCCATGGTCAATGGTCCCGGAGGCACCCGCTGAGTGCGGCACTGAGGGGCGACCTTCGAATTCATCTTCCCGAAGGGATGACTCGGTTGACCTCAGGTTGGCAGCTCGACTGGCTGTAACTGGTCCAGGCATGGCAGTAACAACCATGCGCTGAATCACCCGCAGGTGGCAGTCTGCGGAAAAGTCTTCTCAACTCAAAACTGCTTTGGCAACTCTCAAGAGCTTGTCATGCAGTGAAACCCAGGACCCAGGACAAAGCTGGAATCTGCAGAAGAATGCTCAGTTACTGCATGCGATTGTAGACCATGGAGTTGAAGAAAACCTGTTTCTTTTCTGCTCGTTTCGCTGTCTCACCCCAAGTTTCGCCGAATTGAGTGAAAGCCACTGGCCATCCTTCCTCCAGTTGGCCGCAGGCGTCTTGGCAAACCTCGCACCGGCCGATGGAATCAAGATGCACCAGGAGTCACAAGACGGGGTGGTGTGGCTCGTCCCCAAAGTGGATGAGTGGCACCCCGACTTCCTCCATGGATAGCACCCCATCGAACGTGACTGCTGGCAGTATTGTGATGCATGGTGGTTCGTGCTACGGCGGCAACGGGTTCGTGGCAGTGAGTCAAAAGCTGGCTCCCACACCCGCTGACTGTGGCAAGGCTGACCATGTCTGGCTGGTCACTCCACATCCCCTTCTTTTTGACCCACCATATGACTATCGCTTTTGTGATTTTTAGCCCAATTCCTGGAATTCACGACTGCTCTCTACTAAGTTAATGAATATTAGTCATTGCACATTTTGGTGGTTGCTCATCTGAATCACCAGCAGCTCACCCACCGTTCCGACCTCCTCCATCAAACCTGGTGGGAATGCTGCTTTTTTCTGGGATCCAAGCTCGCTTGGTCAACTACACCACTTGAAGGCTGCCCATCACAGCCCATCACCCCCCCCCCCCCCCCCCCCCCCCCCCCCCCCCCGAACTCGACCCCAGCGGGTCGGACCCGGCACTGAAGCGGCGAGGGGATCCGACGGACTGAGGGGCCGAGCTGTGTGTCCTCTGCATGGTCGAAGCTTCCCCCCTCCCTGCTGCTCAGCAACTTCTGATAGGCCTGACGGCTGAAGTTGTGCAGTTGGACTGCACAGGCACATGAAAGAGAACCATCAATCTTTGGCCCTCATGGGTGCCTACATGCTTCAGTTCGTGCACGAGGTCCCCCCACGAGGTCGGTTTCAACTCCGACTTCCCATGGCCCCACCTCGCTGGCCAAGACCTGACAAGAATTCGGTCGAGGTGTTTCTGGCGTCAGCACTGGAACCGGAGACTTCGTCTCTAAAGGAACGGGAGAAGTCGCCCATGTGGAGATCGAACATGGGACGGCACATGCAGTCAGATCAGCTCAGCAGAACGGCATGGACGTTCATGCGATGCAGTTCAGGTACTTTGACCATCTACAGTAGCATCCAAAAAAACATACAATAGGGACTTGAGGTGCTTTGTTTTGGGCTCGGTTACAGTCCGATTACCACCTAAAGGTGCGTTTTCTATCACAGCCTCTCCCAGGGGAGCCCGCATTCACGTCACGTTCCATTAGGAACTCATAAACCTTGGGTTTCGTGCACAACGCCACTTTGGAGGCTCAATTGGTGTGCTGAGGAGGAGGAGGAGGAGGGAGGTGGTGGTGGCGGTGGTGGTGGTGGGGAGATTAGGATTGGCATGTGAGAAGCAACCAACACGGAGACGCTTTCCCGTTGCACGAGTCTTGGATCACGCTTTCGTGTGGGAGGTGACGCGCCGCTCATTTCGTGATGCACGAGAATGCGATCTCATTTTCGCGATGCACGAACGGCTTACCCCCAAGACCCAGGACCATGGGAAAACGAGCTTGTTTATCTTTTTGTTGATGCTCGATTCGTGATTGAGGCAGGCTTGTGACAAAGATGGTGTTAATGACTCGTGAACAAGAACGGTATTCACTCTTCACCCCAACAGAATCGCTTTCGTTCATGATCCTTTTGCGTTGGTGAATGAATGGAGTCCCCGGGCAAATCTAGATCCAAGGTTTAGGGTTGCCATTGGTCATGTTGACTCCTTGCATGCACTCGTTTATTCTTTTGGGGGCTGCCGGGGGCTATTTGCATGGAACGAATCACATTGACTGAATATGGCACTCCCAGACTTCGCTCGTCTTCCTGGTCTGCGAATAGAATTGGCTCGTTTTTGCAATGCACTTCCTGGTTTTGAGATGTTCCAAGGTTTTTACGAAGCCACGGGGCCTTGGGTCTTGGTCAATCGAAAAGTAGATCCCCACCAAAAATGCTACAATCTGTTCAATTCCGCACCCTCACTGTTGCCTTCTCCAAATCTTCTCGATTCCCCGCACGAAAAGTATATAAGCGGGTCCCGTTGGGAACCCCTGGCCACGTCAGGGGTGCCCTGCAGAAGCACCTGCAGCGCGTGGTCCAACCAGGACGTAAGAGCTGAGTGGGTCGTCCGAAAGAAAATGAATACAAAAGAGGAGCATGCTTTTTGCAGTCTCGGAAGATAGGTTTGTTGGAACACCTCCCTAAACAGGAAGATACAGGAAGGAGCTAAATGTTAGCATCGGGCAGCGTGACTGCTGACAGGATGAGGACAGGTTATTGAGTGGGCGCTTCATCGAACACCGTTGGGCGGGTGGTAACTTTGCTGCTTCTTTTGGGTTCCTTTTCATGCTAACCATCCTATGCCCCTAGACTCCCAGTCATCAAGAAGCCCGGTTCCACCTGATCCTCCCAACGATCTTCCTAGCAACGGCGCCCACGGGGACCAGTCGCGCTCGCCAGCCTTACCATCCTGCATCAATACCTCAATCGAGGTCATGGCAACACCCACAACCCACATAGCTCTGTGGTAGCACACCGCCCTCAAGAAAACGGACAGATCAATCGATTCAACCCTGTCAAAAGCCATCTTGTTCCTCCTTCACTGAAGCTGGACCTATTCACGAAAACCAAAGAGGGTTGAATACCACTAGCAGGAGCAATTTGTGCCCGCGGCCTGCTGCAACAAGTGTCGATCTACCGAAGCTGGGGAACTGATCGAAACCCAATGGCAAGTGGTCGTTTCAGGTACAAGAATTTTTTGGTGCAAGTAGCGGCAGTCTGAGCCGCCTTTCAAGTTCAATTGCCATGATGAGCCACCATCACTGTTTAACAGGCTAGCCCCTAGCCGCAAAAAACAAAAAAGACTCGATGTCTTGAAGATCTGGCGTCACCACGGCTTTCTGCACCCAAAACGCCGATGCCGACCACTTCCTTTTGGCCACCCCCCCCCCCCGCCGGGCCCCCCGAACCACTCGCTGGAACTTCTGTAGGCGATCCGAATCCGGCTGCGTGGACTCGGCACGTGTGCGGGACGACCGTCACGTTTGGGCGTGAAGAGCGGCGGTGGGAATCGGTTTTGGTGTTTGATTTGGTCTTCTGATGGGGGGAGGGAGGGCTTCTGGGTTTCCTCTGAAAATAGAACCATTATATAAGTGGTTTTTTTTTCTCCGTTCAATGTGTTTTTGTTCCAAAATTCAGATCTATGTGCACCTTCCTTTTCGATGTCCCCTTAAATTTAAACATCCCGTCCCATGAAACTCGCGTTCCATATGGTCGCTTAAGAGGCCATCCAAAAAAGAAAAAGTCAAGGTCTCAAAGTGGGTGAACCCAGTGGCAAAAACATCTCACGGATCAAAACAAAAACCCTTGGCACAAGCAAGTCTTGTTCACATTCATGCAAGACTTGCACAACACACTCTCATGCGTCAGCTACTGCGTCACCTACATACGTACCCAGGTGACGTTCCAGGATGTTAATAGATTCAAAAATGATTTGGACTTGGGGTTACGCACTTAAGCGCTTAGAGAAAAAATGGAGAGAACCGAACCTCTTGGCCAAATGCGGGACGTCAAAGGCCAGCAAGGCCAAGGCCAGTACCGCCAGCAAAGGGAAACCAAAAAAAGGCACAAAAACGATATCCAGCTTCTTCAAAGTGACCTTTTTGGAGTCCGTAGCGACCTTTCACAGGTCTAAAGTGGCCTCAAACTCGGGAATGAAAAAAACTGACTTTCTGAAGAACTAGAAAAAAGGGTAAGGAGCAATACCGAATTACTGCAACTCTCTCCCCTTTTTGGCTGAGTGCATTCGGCTGGCCAAGAGGTTGGATTTTTAAGACAAGGAAGATATCCACCCTGAGTTTTAAAGGAGCAAAAGGTTGAACATGCGCGCCATGTCACAGCGCCATCTGAAAGCTACTACTTCGCAGTGAAGAATCTGCCGTGGCGGTAACCAGCACATCCGATTTCTACTTAGCGCGCTTGCGGTGTGCCCTTTCCCGCATGTTTTGGGAACCCAAAGGCTCCGACCTCCCCGCCGTGTCCGTTCCATGTCCGTTCCGACCTCCCCGCCGTGTCCGCGTGAGCTCCTTCCTAGTGCTCACGCTTCATGGAGGGGTCGGAGTCGTCGAGAAGGGGCTCTGGGAGCTGAGGATCCCGCAAGAAGCTGAGCATAGGGCATAGGCATAGCAGAAAGCATAGCATAGCAGACACCCAAAAGTCCACCCAAATCCACCACCTCCTTCAGCGAAGTCGAATCTCGGATCCCTCCAGGCCGTCGTGCGTCTTTGCCGCCTCCGAAAGTCCAGGCGCCCCCACCACGATACAGGTGCGGCCTTGGAGAATGCGAGATCGATCGTCTAGGGCCGCAGGCCGCGCTCGGAGCTCGGAGCTCGGCGCACGGTGTGGCCGAAGATTCACCAACGATTGTTTCTCCCTACTGAGCTCCACAGGACTCTGCTTTCCACTAGTCACTAGTCAATCTCCCGGCCTTTCATCAGAGGTCCCAAGAGCAGCTTGTCCATAATGACGCGTGCCGTCGGCCTCAAGCATTCAACAAAGAAAGATCGCTACATATTACCATAAGCAACATGTGTTCATCCAACTCCAGGAGCTGAGCCCAGTTAGAAGCCGCTGGAGGCGATCAAACACCCAAAATCAGGCACCCGGCGCATCGACGGACGCGAAGGGGTCATCCATGAGCACCAACCTCAAAACGACCAACTCTCCGGGCCGAGAGTAGAAGCGACCGGCTCGGCGCTTGGCGCCCATGCGCGACGCCGCGACCGCATCCGTGATCGCACGGACTCCTCCCGATCCCCCCCCAAAAAAAAGAAACAACAGAACCTGTGGCCTCCCTCTGCTGGCAAAGTTGCTTGGAGGTTAAGTGATACGCCGCGCGGGCCATGGACACCTGGGCTCACGGTAAGCGCGAGGGTCCCGACTCGGCCGTTGGCGCCAGACTCCACCGGCGGCCGCTTGGGCAGCCGCTGGCACAGCCCAAAAGACGTCCAAAAGGTGTCTGACGGAGGATGTCATCGACGGACCAAACGATTCGACCACTCACGGCACACTGATCCTCAAAGGTGCTCAGGCTGCTCAGGCGCACCGCTGAGGCCCCAGGCACGTGCCTTCTGCCCGCCCGACAAGGAGATCCCACGAGCGCCGATGGGTACCTGGTCACCACCTGGGAAGGCAAGCAGGATGTGCAGCAACCTGTCAATGAATTGGAAAGATCTGCCGGAAACCTAGCGTGCTTTTCACCCGGCAAAACTGTGGGTGTCCTTCCCTTAAACCAATTCTGGGATTGGTTCGGGTGCAAAGAGACTTTGACCTTGAAAAGCATCGGGTTCGGGTGGAGCTGAGGAAATGAGACTTTGACGGTTCAATCAGCTTCTCCGCCTTCGTGAGGTTGTTGAAGAGTTGTTGAAAACAGGTGCGTCCCAAAAACTACGATTCTCAGACAACCACCAACCCCCAAAACACCCGCGCGACGTGGGCCGGCCTGGCAAGACCTTGAGATCCTCCCCCAGCGACGCAGCGCGCAAGGCATCCTCATAGCCTCAGCGTGGGACTCTTCGAAGGGCGGGCTCTTGGGCCAGTGGACGAGACCACGCCTTTCTTCCGGTGTCAGGTGTCCATGCCTCCTGTCGCAGTCCTGGTCTTCTCCAACGGTCAGAGTTTACGAACAAACCGATCCCAACACCTGTCTGAGAGAGGCTGCCTTCGCACCAAGGGGCGGCTCTGGTCGAAGGCCTGTCCAAACAAGACGTTCTCCTTGCAAAGCAGGGTGCACTGGTCGTGGGGTGTGCTTTGGCTGGGAGTGGCACCCAAATGGTAAAAATAAGCTTGAGACAATTCAGAATGTCATCGCACGATGTTTATGGGGCCAGCGACCCAAATGGAGGTCGAAGTGGCTCTTACAAGCTGTGCTTGCAACGCCACATCGCACTGATCCACGTAGTGCCTGTGCTTATAACATCGTGTTTGAGACAATTCGGGCCAGTCACTCGGATGTCAACATGTTTCACAAGTTTCAGGAATCATTTGAGCATTCAGTTTGGCCTGAGCACTCATTGTGCAGTCGATTCCAGCAGGCATGCGAGACGCTTGATATCCAAATCCATGCAGGGTTGAAACTTTCCTTCAAAGGGTCCCACTCGGTACCCATTTTGGACCTCCCCCGCAGGATGCTAGAAAGATTCTCCAGGCGATCACAAGAAATGCCTGTTATAATATGACCGGTTCCACGCCGAGAAAAGACTTCACCAAAACTTCGGCTGTTTTTGATTTAGCTCTCACATCAACTCTGTTCCGCTCGGGCAGAATCCTTACTACCGAGGCCATCACCAACCACCAGCGCTTTGAATCGGTCACGGTGGGATGCTCGCACACCAACGACCGAATGGCCAGTACTGGATGGTCGGATAGCTCCAATTGCCGGTTCTGCAACGCGGGAAAGGAATCCATGCGCCATCTGGTGCATGAGTGCCCGAGCATTGGTAGTATTCTTCCACCGCCAATTGTTCATGAGCTGGGAGCTAATTTTGGCCTGCTAGGGCATGTCCGTCACCCTGCATTGCACGAAAGCGCCTCCGATCTGGAGTGACCCGAGTCCTTCGACCCTGCCAGCCAGCTTGAGATTTGGACTGACGGATCTGTTGTTTTTGGAGAGAGCATATGGTTGGCTACCGGGGCTTTCGCAGTGTTGGATTGTCAACGCAGAATTACTGGTCATTGTCCGCTTATTCTACGGAGTTGTGGGCTGTTTTGTTTGCTTGTTGCAAGGCAGGCTGCATATATACAGCGACTGCCAGACGGTTGTCGAGCAATCAAAGCTTATTTTTGCTGGCTCACCAGTTGATCCAACGTGGAACTGCTGGCAATGGTGGTGTTTCTTGAAGGACATTGTCGTGCGCCGATCTGTTGATGGGCTTTGTCCCTTTCGTATTGACTTGATCCCGGCACACAAACTGGAATCTGTTCCCATTCCAACGCTTACAGATGAATTGGCACGCCTTGCCAAAACCACAGTTCGACATATAATACATAACAGACTGGTCGATGGTGCTGCACGAGACTTCGCTCTCAGGATTGCACCAATCAATCCAAAGATGCGTCAAGAACTCATTGGTGCAATTCGACAGCACCAGAGTTGGCTCACTAAGCTTCATGAGCTTCTGCCTGCCCACCAAAGAGCCAGGTGCGACCGATGTTTCTCAGGTATGTGAACTTCCGGACGTGCTCACTCCTGAGCAGTGCCGTGTTCGGTATCCACATGGGACGCCCCCTCTTCTTCGTTTCGGTGGAAGCCCAAAGTGCCGAACTCACATCCTCCTCCGAGAAACTGGATCAGCACGGCACATGACTGGGATGAGATCCTTGGGTTTTTGAGATCCCTGCGCTGGAAAACGGGTGCTGATTTTTCTTTTTCGTTTTGTGAGCTGGCCGCGGTGGATTTCGAGTGCAGAGTGATGCACAAATGTTGACCTTCCGTGAATTGACCAACTTGATTCGAAAAGCGATGCAGATCCTGTCCAAAGATGATACAGTCGATGCGTTCCCTCGAATTTTTAATTCTACACGACCTCGTTCGTGTGGGCGGGTCTTACCTCAAGGGTGCATAGACCACTCAATTCCGTATGTGAAACCAGAAGGGTATCAGCTTGTTGCGCAGCTTCTTGCGAGAGGTGCCGGGCGCACGCTGGAGTCTTGGGAGATTCCAGTGTGCGATTTTTAGCTTTCTTTGTGCAGATTCCACCGTTATGTTGTGACCAGTGTGTCCTGCATAAGCCAGACACGTCTCACTGCGACTTTCTGGCGCGAGAGGTAGTAAGTAGTTGGAACCTGTTGCAACCTCAAAGGCACTAGAAGAAAGGAAACAAGCTGGCATGGCTGGAGGAGGAAGTGGTTCCGGAGGAAACGGTGCAGTGGTGGAATGAGGGAGTGAATGAGGGCGAGGTTGGAGTGGTGGTTGTGCAGTTGTTGGAGTGGTGGTTGTGCAGTTGTTGGAGTGTGGGGTGGAATGAGGGAGTGAAGTTTAGGGCGAGGTGTCAGATCTTGGAGTTTCATCCGTGCTTCATCCAGTGCATCCTACTCTTGGGCCCTTCCGTCGGTGCCCTTTCCAGTCCTTCAAGGTGCCCTCGGCAATGTGAGGTATCTGCCGATTCGGTGGCGAAGGCGGAAGGAGTCACTGGTGGAATGCATCTTTTCCATGAGGAGAGGGGCGCCCAACGGGTGCAATCACTTTAGCGACTAATAGCAACACCCCTTTGGAACTCCTGATGGTCGCTATATAGTATATGCATAGTATGCATAGTATATCGTCAGCCACCTGATCTGTCGGGGCTGTCTGTTCCGCATGGCATGGCATGGCAGAGAACGTGAGAGAACCAACTTCTTCAGCTCCGTCGGGCCCCGGAGCTTGGATTAAAATAAACTACTAGCTTCTTGTTACTACCAGTAAGGCACTTGTTACTACTAGCGAGGCACTTGTTCCTAGTAGCTTCTTGTTATGCTTTGAAATGCTTGGACTTATCTTGGACTCTTTTGAGTGAAGGTGGCTTGCCGTCTCAAGAACTCACGAGCGAAGAAGGAACTGCCGCCCCAACCGACAGCGAGCCGCATCCCACAGACCCCGCCTGGGAGCAGTAGGCCACGGTCTTCGGACGGCCTGGGTTCATGTTCGGAGCTCTCGGAGGTGAGTGAAGGGGGTTCGGACGGCCTCACGGCCTCTTCGACGACTGGCCCGGCGGCGACGGATCAGTGTCAAGCGGCTGATGAAGGCCTTCTCTTCCCTCTCATCCGGTTGCAATTCTCCCAAGATGGCCTCGTCGAGCAACCCCCACGTACCCATACGTACCCCACATAGAGTGACGAGAAGCATAGGTGACACAGGCAAACAGGACCATCGTGTCATGCATTTCGGAGGGTGTGGAGACGCGGCATTCGGAGGATGTGGAGATCTGCCCAGCTCATCAAACAGCCACCCCTTCAAGGTGACACTCTCTTCGAAAAACCCATGGCGAAGAGGTCCACCCCCCAAGATCGCACAACCGCCGCCCGTGGCGAACAAGCTCCTTAGCTACTAGCTATATGAAAGGAAGTTTAATTCACTCGGGGCTATGGTTATAGCATTCTATCTATATTTTTGAATTTGCAGGTTGCAGTAAGCCTGGCAGATGTGGCACTTTCAGCAACGAAGGCAAGATTGGAGACATGCTGTATTTCTACACTTGGATGCCACTGGTGTGTATATATATATATATCTATAACCACCATTCTTTCACTCCCCACTGAGCTCCAGGCAAGCCGCCCAATGAAACACCCAGAAAACAAGGACAAGACTTCTAGACCATTCGCTTGGGCACTCCGTTCCCTGGCACCGCCGGCACCGGGGCCGGCGCCTGCAGCAGGGCACTTTTCCCTGACCCCACTCCGCCCACCACAGCGACCAACTCACCACCTTGGACAGCAGGCCGTGCCGGGCCGTGCAGGCCGTGCAGCGGCTGGCTTGGGCGAAGGGAAGGGGGTGGCTGGGCGCAGCCCCAAGAAGAATGAGGTTGAATGCTGGAAAAACTGCCAGCAGTTCACCCAAGTTCACTCACTACCCAAACTTGAGACCAAGGCAAACCCTTGGCGGTGTGCGGGCATAGCGCATCTTTCGTGCCACCTTTGGGCCGCAACTCCAGCACTTCAGCTCCACACATGGCACTTGAAGCTGCACTTGTCGGATGGCAGGTGGAGAGTCCATACCTGAGTCGAAAGAATTCTGGGGAAGCCCGTTGACCCCGGAAGAAAAGGGGTGCACGTGTTCCTTTGCTGGATAGATCTTGATCATTCAGTCCGAAGACGCTAGATGTGAAGGGTTCCGGGACCCAGGCAGAAGAAACATGTGCTATGTCGAGTTATGCAACCCATTGGAGAATCCAAGAAACTATCCCATGCAAAACTAGTCATGCGATAGCCATTGCCTCTAGTATCCACGGATGGCGAAGGCTGAGGATCCAGACTCCAGCAATAGGTGCCTTGAATCTTAACGAAGTCTCCTGCGTGATAGGTTTGGTGTGGTTGTACCGGTCTCATCATAAAAGAAGGCATTGCCAAAGGTCCCAAGCAACATGAAATGTACCAAATGTATCGGTATGGCTGGGCGAGGGATCAACAAAAAACAAAAATGAATCAAAAAATACATTATATTTCAGTGTGATAGACGGACCCAAACGTGCAGAGGGAAGAGCAATATTCCATTGACGGGCGAGGGATCAACAAAAAAACAAAAAGTGAACCAAAACATAATAAATATATTTCAGTGTGATCAAGAAAAAACAAAAATAAACTAACCCAAACGTGCAGAGGGAAGAGCAATATTCCATTCAAAGCAGTGATCAGAAGAAACAATCAAACAAACAGGAAAGTCACATGAAAAAAAATGAAAATGACAGAAAGAAGGAAGAAAGAATGAGCGAGTCAATGAACGAATGAAATGAATGAAATGAACACGCTCAACAATTAAAAGCGGGAAGGGGCGCGGGGGAGGGCGCAGCGCCTCCCTGTAACTTGGCACGACCAAAAAACAGATGTCAGGGAGTTTCCCCAATGAATCTTCCTTTGATAACTGCAATGGTCTCTGCGCTGGACATCTGGGCAAAGTTTTGCAACATCGCATTTCAATTTCACAGCCTTCCTTCCTTCCTTCCTTTCTTGCTTCCTATCTTGCTTTGTTCCTTCCTTCCTTCATTTCTTGCTTCCTATCTTGCTTTGTTCCTTCCTTCCTTCCTTCCTTCCTTCCTTCCTTCCTTCCTTCCTCCCTTCCTTCCTTCCTTCCTTCCTTCCTTCCTTCCTTTGCTCGGTTCTTTCTATGTTTTTTGGTTGATGAATTTCTATGGTGATGCATTTACATTTTTATTGTTGATGCTTCTCCCGGTATGGCTGGTGTGTTCAATAGATGTTCACCTAACAGTTGGATATCCACGAAAAATCGACGCCCAGCACTGCGGGGCAGTACTCTCTCTCGGAAAGCAGTGACTCTTGGATCGGCACCTCCGGAAGAGGGCCAATGCTGCAACCAGAGTGGCTGGCCAGCTTGCAGCGTCGGCCTGGGCGCGGCGTTTCTCGAGTCGACAAGGCCAAGCTGACGCTGAGAAGACATGGTGGAGAATGGGCACCTTTTTAGGGCCGGGCCCCTACCCTCCAAGAGGCACACCTTTGGAACTCCGGATGCCGCAGTCTCCGGAAAATCCGAAACTTTGAGGCCGGAAGGCCCGCAACTCCTTGTTGCTCTCATGAGGTTCAACCACTGAAGTCCCGAAATGTTCCCCTCACAGACTTCTCAATACCGACAGGAGCCCCTACTAGCGTCCTTGTTCCTAGTAGCGATGCCCGTTGCTCCTAGTAGCGTCCATCCGGTCCAAGCGCCCCACCCCAGAAAGGGCCTCTGAGCTCCCCAGCGCCTCGGGAAGCTTTAGGAACGCCTGGATCCGCGTCAAGCTGGGCCTCGCCAATCTGTGGAGCATCTCGGATCCATTGGTTTTCGGGGCTCGTGGCACATCCCAAAAGACCGGAACCTGGTCGGGCAGCTAGATGCAGCTAAGCTCCACGCGAGATGGCGGCCACCTTTGCCAGACCTTGGGTGAGGTGGCTGGCATACATTAGTATAGAAGGCATGAAGAGGGGTCCTGATGCCATTGGTGACGATGCCCGGGTCCCGATGGCGAGGCCGGGCCGCCCTGCTTTGCGCCAGGATCTCACAGGAGCCACGAAGACACGCCCTCGAGCAGGAGGGGTCAAGCTGGGAGACCATGGGCGTTTTGGGAGCTGAGGTTCAGGCGAAAACGTGAAGTCTTACCAGGATGGATCATCTAACAGGTTCCAATGCCATAAGGCTGCCATAAGGTGCCTCTTCAAAAATCCGCCCAAACATGCAGAACGCGTTGGCCTTTGACCCAAAAAACACGGGTGTTGACCCAGGTCAACCCAAACCTTGGACCCAAAACACGATTCAATACGTTTCATGTCGAAATCAACCCCCTTCAAAAATCGAATCTGAGGAGCGAACAAGATCTGCAAACTGGTGAAAATGGTCGCAACCTGGGCGGGGACGGCGGGCAGGGCCAAGCTGCCATGGCTGTTTCTGGTGCACCAAGTCTTCGTGTTCCATGCGAACGACGTCGTGAAACGATGCGCGCACCAACCAAACTGCACCGGTTCCACCGCATGGATCCCACCCTATTCCCTTGTGCTTGATGAAGTTCCAATGGAAGGGCCGGGCAAGCCCAGGTCCTGCTGGCTGGGGCCCTCCACATTGTGAGCGCCGTAAATGGCGGCATAGCCAACGAGCCCCGACCTCGGGCAGGCGCAGTTCGGGCACGAATTGGGCTGTGGATCACAACAAGGAGACCGTAGTTGACCTACTTCTACCTGGGATGTCAACCTAAATGGTGCTGGGGCTTTTTACCCACGTCCATTGGTTTTCACCCCAGAACTGGGGTGAAACGGCTACGAGCTCCATGGAGGCAGCACCAATGTTTTTGGATGTTGCAACTTCGTCTTCTTCCCGTTTCACTCTATCGGCGAAGTCATTGAGCTCATCATGGGAATCAAATCCCTGGTAGTTCCAGGTGCGTGCTCCGTGGCGCGGGCCACCTGGCGCGCCCAACCACTCTGATGCTTGTCCTGTGAGGCCGCCACCAAATCAACAAGCGGGGGAAAAGCAGCATGATGGAAGTCAGCGCCTCAAGGAGCGGTTTGGAGCTGCGGAGGAGCGGTTAGGAGCACGAGCGCCGAAAGTGGTTTTTAGACCGTTCTTCATGACATCTCTTCTGATGTCAACAGTTCTGGACTGGATCCAGAAGTGTTGCCAGCAATCTCTCCGCTCGGGATATTCTTCAGCCATCACTTGGACTGCGGCACAGGTGATGTTCCAGTAGGACCTGCCCATTGAGCAACTGGACATCAACCCCAAAACCCTCTGCAAGTCTAGTGAGCTCCATAACCTGGGCGCTCCTTGTCGACCTGCAAGAGGTGTGCTCTGGTGAATGTTTCCATGAAATCTTGGACCAACTGATGTCACGCGTTCCAAATCTCAGGATCTTAGAGTCATCCCTGTCGAGTGCTTTTGCTGGAACCCCTGTGATCCGTCATCTTCGGTTCGCGCCTCAGTGAACCGACTTCCTGACTGCGCAGGTTCGAGATCTTCTCTTCCATCGCGGTCTGTGAGAGGTGAGCCGCGGGGTTCGAAGAGTTGGTGAGGGGAAGGTCTACAATCCACGAAGATTTGTAGATCCGAACTGCCAATATGAGCATCTTTTTAACGTGGTCCTACACGATCATGTTCTGGTAGAATGTCCTGTCACACTACAAAGTAATACAACACCTTATGTGCTCCAAAGCGCTTGATGGGCATCCTGAGTTGATGGAGGACATCCAGCAAACGCATTGTGTTTATGAAACTCTTGTAGCATGTGTTCGAGATTCTCTAGATCTATCTAGATCTATCAATGTCTTGTTCTGCGAGAGTTGCGGCTTTGTTTCCAGCTTACTGCTCCAAAATGACCAAAGGCTGAGTCATAATGGCGCCAAAAGCTAGAAAAGAATCAAAACCAGCCTTAAAGCGCGGTATGTAGCGTTTCTATATCACACATACATATCTATCTATCCATCCATCCATCCATCGATCTATTTGGGTGTCGTTGTCACTGTACCCTTGCACCTCCCAGCCATAGCACTTCACAATACGGACCTCAAATCGGCGGCTGGCGGGAGGCAAAGTGACTCCACAGGTAGAACACCAGAACAACTGACAATCAGTTGGACACTACCCTCCGCCTCACTAACATGGAAGTGGGAAAGGACCCCTGGGAAGACCATGTTCCTTCTTACGGACATTTTTTGTTTCCACTTCCTTAGGGCAGTGAGTCGAAGTGCAAGTCCTGATCACAAAACCTTGACAGCCAGGTCAGATCTGTAAAACCGTTAGTCCTCCCTGGCCTTACTTCACAAGGAATTATAGTACGTATAAATATTATGTATACTACATATATATATATATATATACACATCGAGTCCCATTCACATGCCACTGGCTTCATCCCTATGCCACATGCCACCATATGGCCATTTACGTATAGCAGCAGAAAGGTCCATCTCTTCAACACGGCTTTTGGATCACCTCGCGCCCTCGCGACACCCTCGGGCGGTGAAGGGCGCAGGTGGCGCAGCCTTCACCGCTGAATCCCGAAATCGGGCCCGGACGCCGAAGAGCACCTCACGCAAGGTCACCACTCTCCGGTCAGTGCCTGAGGAGCCCCAAAAACCGTCCGTCCCCACGGCCCCAGCTCGGAAACCTCCCAATAGAGCAAACACAGTGAGAAACATCGCAGCCAACCGTTGCCAACTTCGCCCCCCCCAAAAAATAACGATCCAAGCATTGACCCAAGCTCCTGTGAATGAGTGAACCTCACCCCTTGCACCCACATCTTGCACTCATCGTGCACTCATGTTTGGGCGTTCCTGCAAGGGCTCCGGGCGTTCCTGCAAGGTCAGCATGCACTTCCCCACTGCTGCGCCCAGGGCCACTGCCAAGACCAACTGAGGCGGGGCAACTTGGTCGAGCAGTACGTGTGTCAGTCTCAGGAGGTCTCAGAAACGCCGTTGATACACAGTACAAGAACATCTCGTGCCCGGAACAACAACCTCAATCCGCCTACTTGGTTTTGCTCGACCTGCGTTTTGCTTTCGTTTTGCCCCGGAGTCCCGGCACAGGGGATGGCTGTGGCAAAGGCGCAGATCGAGGCCAAGCGCAGCTCGGTGGCCATCAAGCACAACAAGACGATCCAAGACCTCGGTCTCCGTTGGGTGCATCGGAGCAAGACGGTGGGATGAGGGGAGGAGACGCCTCTTTAGAGGCGGCCAGGCGTCGGCGTCGGCCAAGGATGCCACCAGATCTGCCATACTTTGACATGCGAAGGTTTTGAGCAGGCCAACTGGCACGCCAACATGTGGTGTCTCACACGGTGTCTCGCATGGAAGAAGCTCTTCGCTCGGTTACCAGGAGCCCCGGACAACCCTGAGCTGGCTGCTAAGCAGCACCTGGTGCACCAAGGAAGGGACGAGTGGAAAGCAGGCCTGAAAGAACTCCTGGCCATCAGTTAAGCTGCAACAAGGGTTTGGATGTTCAAATTCAAGCTTGTTGTAACTACAAAACACGCCGCATAAGAATTAAGCACAAAAGGCAAGGACCGCATTACCTTTGCACCCAAGGCTATCGCAGCGAGGCTCGATCTCCTCCGAAGGCATGCCGAGGCCCCGCGCGATTCGAAGCAGCCAATCAGGGCCGTCAAAACGTCATGGTTCAGCAGCCTATGCAACAGTGCGGCACGGTCGGCATTAGTGGGGGACAGTTCGGCCCCTTGAAAACAATGTTTCCTCTACGAGGGGGGTCTGCTCGGCTTCCATGATTGTCGGAGGGAGAGCACAATAGATACAGTCCATATAGATACGGCTTCGAATCCATGCTTGCCAATTTACTAGTCCAACCCCTTTTCGAAGAGCTTGTGAGGGAGATGATTCAGGACGCAAGCGGCCACCCAATGACTGGGCCCAATTCTCACCCCATTTTCTCAGACTCGTCACTGCTGGGGGGAGAGAGAGGCACACAAAAACACTAACGGAGGTGTTGACAATTGGACGCCGAAACGACCGGGAGAAAAGCCGACTGACTGACGCAAGGCGAGAAAGGATCACAAATCAAGACTCTCCTCAAATCGGGGGCCTTCATTGGGTTGGAGGGTCCACTTTGGTTGGGCGGTTGTTGGGAAGGTCTTCTAACCTGAGCAAGACGCCTGCCAAAGCGGGGATGTTCTTCCCTTCCCGTCCGATGGTCGGCGAGCAACGTCTGTAGGTCAGCTTTGATGCCCTCCTCAGCATCTCCTGCCATGCGCGTCATGAAGTGGGGCCAATACTTGATGTTGTGTTGGTCGATGTTCACCAGTCAGGTGGATTTGCCACAAAAACATACAAAAGCGGCAAGGCCCTTTGTTCGGAGCGATGGCAACGCCTGATTCACTGAAACAGAGATAAAAACAATTCACATGTCAATACCTAATACCAAATACCAAGCCCATCCACGTGCCATCTGCAGATGTGCAATTCACATCCCTTTCTTCTCTCCAGGAGTTTCCCAAGCTGCCGGTGTTTCAGAAGCCATCGGAGACACGCGCGCGACTGGCCGCGTCCGCTCGGGGGCCTTCTTTCGGCGTCTGCTCGGAGCTGGACGTCCTTGGGGCCGTCCGCCGTCCGGACCAAGTGGCCACCAGACCGTGGGCTCTGGCCAAGCACCACCAGCTCAAAATTTGATGGGGATTTGACCTAAACCATGGAAGTGATTGGACGGGTTCCTTCCCTCAACCAGGAGTCTTTGTGGTGGGAGATGCACAAAACGAGCCACTGCGTTGGAATGACATCTGTGGCCATTGGCCTTGGCCCATGCAGAAGAAGAGGAAAGACGTAGATGAGGCCTGAAGGGATCCCCCATGCTGCCTGTGTCTTGGACCCATTTCATCCCGCCACCCTCACCCTCTGCTAAAGAGAGCGACCTTACGACTCAGCCGCACCGCAAAACAGACCATAATCACGACAATCCTTCAAAAACACTCAGCGTGTGACAAATACTACAGGGAAGAGACTAGGGAAAGGAAACATTGAATGAAACGCTTCCTTAGAGGACGGCTCTTGCAAGTTGACCATACTGCATAGGGTTGATGATGGGAGATAATTGTATGAAGGAGGAGGCGCAGGAGGTTCAACCAAGGATGAAAACTGTTTGAAAAAAAGGGGTGGAGACCTTGGACATTCTGCAAAGCATGAGGCCCCTTGTCAAGAGGAGGACTTTAGAGTAGGGTTGAACAAATGAGAAGTTTTGGTAAACGTTTGGAGGCTTGTCTTTGAAAAGACACTATATGGTAAGGGTGGCAGCCCTGCAAAGAAGAAGCAGTGTGTCCCTAAAGACCGCAGCGAAATGCATGCAGTGAGGGAGTTGCGAGGAGAATGAGGAGAATGACGAGGAGGAGGAGGAGGAGGACAAACACCACTAACGCAAAAACATATAAACATTACAATACCGACCCTCACCTGACAGGTGGGGTGGAAACAAACAAAAACACACAGGCAAACAAACACACCAAGGGATGCCAAACAAACACACCAAGGCGGCGTAAAGACCAAGAAAAAAGTTATATAGGTTGAGGCTGGACTATGTCTCTAACGTCTAGAGTGTGTTCCTGGCCATTGTCACGCCGTTCTTGTGGTTTATTCTTTCGGCTTTTCCTTACCGTCATAAATGTAGGTTTGGTAGGCTGTGTTCAAAGTTTTCAGAATACATTGTGACACACAGTGGTTTGACTTAATTTCAGTTGCAGTTCGGGTTTCTTCTGCTCTTGCCAAAGGAGCTCAAAAACAAAGATATTGGAACGGCGTGTTGTAACAGAGCCCTGCAGAACAGATTTCTTTTGACTGACTCTTGGCTGAAGATGCTCTCCCTAAAGTGGCCCTACTGTTGTGAAATGGCGATGCGTGCTCAAGGTATATAGAATTAAGGATCTCAACCACCCAACCGTTTGACTCACCAAAATACCAAATCGCACATCAGGTCAATCTCCATGGCAATGCTTCAGTTGAAGCACAAAGCTTTTGGCTACAGCACTCGGAAGCTGAATTCTACCCCAAAAACCCGAAATCAAACCCTGTTGCCATGTTCTCGATTTTCCGGTGACCTGCTTCTTTCTTCCTACTGTAATGTTCCACATCGCCTTCGAGAATTCATCCAGGCCTTCTCAACTCATGTCCCCATCCCACCAGACTCTTAGCGGCTCAAGTTGCGACGGCAAGCGCTGGGCCTTCCGAAAGAGCGCCACCTGAGAGGCCGGTGCCATGCCGCCGAGGCTGTTTTCGGATCCACTGCAGAGGTGGAGGGTTTTCCTGTGCCAAGCTGGTTGAGGAAGCGCATGAACCCTAACTTCTTCCATGAACTATGAACTATATAACTCTGTGACCTGTTTCTCCATGTTTCTCCCTTGATTTGGCAGAGTTCAACCACACATGTGCCGGTCTGGCCCAATACCAAGCATGTCCATCCTGTGGTCTTTACAACACTCATACGAGCATGTGCCGAAACTGCTGGGTAACGAAGAGGCGAAAACAACAAGGTTGTTGCTGGGGCCTGTTTTTTTCAGGCTCCAGCCATGTTGATCATGTTGCACCCTATATAAACTATATAACTCTTGCGTCCTGCGACCGCTCTAGAGCAAATCTGGTCATCGCCAGGGCGTGGCTGCTCGCATAACATGAATGTTCATCCTGAATCCCTGCAACACTGTTGTTCTTCTCCGAGGTGAATTCTTGTCGTGGAGATTCAACAGCAAATTGATCTGGATGGATTCTACTCCGTAATGCGCAGGCAGCATGCGTTTCTAAAGCACTTTGAGCAATCAGCAACGTCGTGTTTCGCACTTCCCCTGTGGAAGGTTGTTCTTCTGCATGTGACTCAGATTCCGCCATTTGGTCCGAGTGTCTGGTGGCAGTTAGTCGTGCTAATGGATCATCTGCCCAAATCCATTACTGCAGTATATTTAAAAAAAATATATATAATAAACCAGGTAACCACGGTTAATGATTAATGAATGACTGTGGAAGCCCCGGGCGGTCCAGGCTTCTTCCTGTCCTCAGGAAGGCCTTGTTCTTGGGCCTCCACACGCCTCGCGCTCACGCTCGCGCCGGCTGACAGCGATGTGCTCCTGGGCGCCCCTAACAGCGATGCCACCACACAAGCGCTGGTCCTCAAATGGAGCCAAAGAAGGACATAGGTCCAAAATCCGGAGAAAACCCATGAAACTGCGAGTCGAGTAGTCAAGTCCATCTGCCCTTAGTTGTTTTCCGGTTTTGTCAAGTTTGGACCCCCACTTTTGGACCAAAACTTTGGACATCTGTGCATCGATACTTTCAGATGAAGGAAACCACAGGGTGATCTGGTGGGCTTTGGATTCACCGAGAGCCCGGCCAGCTGAGTATTGATGGAGTTCGTGACCTCGCGCCAGGACCAAATGTCCACAGTTGCAAAGATTCTCATGTGCTTTCTCGCAGACTCCGAGAATGATCCATGGATTCATTTGCCCCAAAGCATGCGACAAACCCAAAGATGTCTTGGTGTATGGGGTCCATAAAAAAGAACCACCAAACTTGAGGATTGCGCCATCTACTCTGAAACCACTGTAATATATAGTAATATATATATATGTGTATAGTCGAACCCAAGAGGCTGTGACAGGCACCTGGCGGTGCGGTCGGCGCAGGCGCACCCTTTGTCCGGGCCCCCCCGGCAGATGCCAAGACGATGTGGCCGATGGAGTAGAAGGAAAAAGCAAAGATGGTGACCTCTGAAGCGGTGTGACATGGGAGGATGCAACAGGTGAAAAAGAACCATCTGGAGTCGGCTGTTGCTTAGGCCAGATCTCTGACCATTCCATACCATTCCCTCTTCAATCGCAGCTCTCAGTGCCATGCCAAGATCTGGTTGGTCATATTCCGCTCCTTGGCAGCCGGTTGGTGCCATGGAACCATTGGCAAGTTCACCATCCAAGGAGCATCATGCGAACTTGCGAAGTCTCATTCTTCGCACCCAAGCCACCCAACTGCACGACTCCTTCCTGATCACCCGTGTCACCTGTCGTGACCACCCTTCCACCGCGCACCTCGAAGGGGTGCTCCGAGACCCAGGCCTCCAGCAGCGCCGGAGGCGCGCACGGAACACACACGCGCCGGCGCGCGCACGGGCACCGCGGCGTGCGAACCGCCCCACGCGACCCGCGGCACGGGCACCGCGACCCGTGCGCACCTGCAACTTGAAGAAGTGCATCAGGGACTCAGCGGTGCAGCGTCGGTGGGGCGGTGAACTGCTGTGTCCGCCGAGACATGGTTCGTCTCCGGCGAAGAACTTCCCGCAGCCGGTGGTAGAGTCGGTTAGGAGGACGTTCTCACTGTAGTCAGAATGAATCGTACTAAGTAGTCTGGCTTAGTGAGGTATGTCTGTTCATATTTTTCCATGTTTCTTCCACAAGATTGCCACTCTCAACTGATTACTGACCCTTCGCATCGGCGCCGACACTGTGGCGGAAACCAACAACACTGAGCCTCCACACAAAACGGACCAGGTAGACGGAGTACAACTGGAGGAGCCTGCGTTCCCGAATTGCGAAGGTCAAGGAGCCCAAGCTCCGACCCTGCCATAGGCCGGTCATCTCATCCCAACATCCCAAAGTCAACATGATGTGAAAACCCCGACCTCCCGGGTGGCAAGCTGAATGCCGGCATGCGATTCATCTCCCTGTCCAAGCTTCGCTCCATTCTGGGTCACCGTGCAGGATCTGACACGCATAGGCCGTGGCGCCCATGATCCTACAAGGAGCACTGCCAGTCTATCAGTCTCAACCAAAACTGGACGCAGGCAGGCCCCTGGAGCAAACAGCTAAGCCAGCACCCGTTCAATGAGTCAATGCGCCGGCGACACAGCTTCGATCTGGGCCACATCTTCAGAAAGACATTGGCCTTGGCGGCCAGGCGCGTTTAGGCACGGTCTCTCCAAACAGGAAGAACCTGTTGAATGTGGTTGATGGCACACAACGAGAAAATCCTGCAAATATGCGTGGCATCGCCTGGGCCTAGCAGGCCTAGCATCAATCATTCTGCCAGATGTTCAGAACAACGAGAGAGAGAGAGAGAGACGGAGTCCAGCTGTTCTTGACCTGTCCCAAACACAGCCGTTGGGCCCCCCTCCAAGCCACACTCTCCACCCCCCTCCGAGCGCGGGGCGATGCTGGCCTTCTCGGGCCCTGCGGCCTGGGAAGCGGCAGGGCCGGTGGAACGGCAGTGCTGAAAGAGGAGATTGAATAAGAATGAATGTACTTAGAAGAGTGAGGATAGTGAGGTTCCTCCTTTTCATAGAATGAATATAGGCTATACATAGAATAGGGGATAGAATAGGGAGGTTCTCCTCTCAACTCCCTTTCCTACAAAGATTGTCCATAGCTGGTTTTTGTTATGAACCCTCAAACAGCGGCATCATGCCCAAGGGGATCCAAGGGGTCAAGGAGTGCAAAAACAATCGTCGTGAAAGCAGCTTGTTGACTACTTGACCAACGAGGCACCTTCCTGAACGTGAGACATCGTTGCCTTTCTGCTAAGATATGGAAGACACCCAGCGCCGGATGCAGGAAAGCCACTAGACTCACTAGACTTTGATCTAGCAAATGCAGGAAATAGCTCTTTCCTATTCCCTGGCGTTACCGGGCATGGTTTCTACGTGATGCACATGGGGGCCGCTTCGGCACCGACCGGTCGACCGACCCCGTCAGCGGCCTGCACTTCTTCCACCCATAGTTTTTCGAATTGATCCGCGCTGGCATTCCTCGACGGCATTTGCCGAGCTGGAATTCAACCATGCAAAACAAGCAGATGCAGCTTTGGATTTGGCTTCTCCAGGATCTAACCCTGGAAATGTGTGCCTGGACGTCCACTTCACTGGACAATGGTGCTCAATGGCACATTACCAAAATCGCTCCAAGTTTGGCCAGCAGCCAGTTTTTCTGACAGAAGGCCCTTCAGAGCTGAAGTAAGTTTATGAAGAGTACTGTAATGACTGTAGTGTAGACTCTTGATGAGTAAACCCCCTACGCCAGAAGAGCTATTCTAATCCATGTCGGGGGGTTCAATGAAGAGTCTACATTGACCCGTTTCAGCCCAGTTCCTTGGAACTTCGCTCCGCCCTCCTCGCCACCCGGGCGGGAACCGGCGGGAGCGTGCTCTCCAAGGGCCAGGCGCCATGTCCTCCCGAAAGCCCAACCTCAGAGAGCTGGGGTGGTGTGGGAACCCCACACGGCGGAGCTGCGCACGCGGAGATGCCTCCCGAGATGCCTCCCGTCTTACCCCCGCGCGCGGCGGAGGATCCTTCTCGTCTTTCAATCGGCTTCCAGGCTGTGGCAACTGGTCGGCCTTGATCTTCGTGAGCGCGGCGTTCCTTGGTGGGTCAAGCCAAAACAACTACAGTACAGCAATGAATCTGAATAAAAATGAATATAGAGAACATAATAGTAGGATATTGCAAGTGGAGACCTGGAGGATGGTCTGGTAGGCCGTTTTGGCCAGCAGCCAGCTATCCTATATATACTGATTACAGTATATATACTATTCATTGTCCAAAACCAACATGATCAGATCAGACTGAATCAGACCGGACATCTCTTTTGTCGATCATTCTTCCTAATTATGTCTTTCCCAAGAGGAGCTAGAAGCTAGTAACAAGGGCATCGCTACTAGTAACAAGGGCATTAGCTACGGCTGGAGGCCATTCCTACTAGCCCCCGTGTTGGACCGTGCACGTCCGAGCGGCAGCGAGTCGCCCCAGCGTGCGCACCAGGGCGAGGCCTCGCATCCGGCGAAGCGAAGCACCGGCGACCGGGAGGGACCAGCCGGTGAACCGCTTCTCACCGATCGCCACGGCTTGAAACAGGGTCGATGGTGTGTTTGCCCAGGTCGGTCAGTCCTGCACCATCCTCCATCCCTCCCAACGAGGCCCCCCAGCCCAGGAGATGGAGAGCCAACTGAGAAATCCTGAAGGACAGAAGCGAAAGCGCCTTTATAAATCTCAGAGCGAGTGCCCGAGCAAACGAGAAACGCAAACCTCTGTGGTCGATTGTGGTGCCAACCTCGTTGGCTAATTTTCCTCCGAAAGAATGGGGAAATACTTACCTCTATACCACCTAATCTTACGAGTTGAGTGTCCAAACTCATTCCTACCAACCAGAAACAAAATGGTTGTTCCAACATGTTCCAATATGACAATAATTATGACATAGTATGACCCTTAGTGGTTTCTGAGAAAACCTCCATTGACTTTCTGTTTGGGACAGGGTGAAACCAGCTCTACACTCATGCTGCCTCGATTTCAAAGCCGACCGAGTTCGCCACTCCTTGTCGCCAGACCTTGGTTTCCGCATCCATGTCCTCCACCTCCGGAAAGGGCTGCTGGCATGGGGAGTGCGAAGGGGTGGACGCCCCCCGATCAATCGATAAAACTTGGGTCAGGGTGTGGAAGTGTATGGGTGTAATAGGGTCTACATCGGATAGGATAGGGGCATGGTTCTTGCTTGGAAGAGATTGACTCTAGCCGACTCTAGCCCGGCAGCGGTGAACTAAGCATGGACTCTCTCTCTCTCTCTCTCTGTCTCTGTGGTAAGAACGTCCAATCTAAATGGTCGAAGCAAAACCGGCAGGTCCAGGCCACATGGGGGCGGAGAATGACCAGGAAACTTGGACTCCCTCAGGTTTTTTGGAAAAAAACGTTAGACTGCGTTTTCTACATGTATACAGTCGGGAAGCCAATCCCTAAAAACATTAAAGCTTATCCACAAGCTAAAACAGAAACCCTTGTAACGAAGTGCTTTCAAATGCGTTCAGTACACCGGGCCGGGTATTGTGGAGAAAGGCATGACAAAGCCGATGGCTGCCATGGGAGCATCTGCGGCGGCTTGTGCCGTTCCGTTCGCACCGCTGGACGTCCAACCGATTGTCCTAAGAATCGCTGCATAGGCATGGCAATAGGCATAGCTCATGTGCACTCCGCGACAGGACACTCGTAGTAGCCAAAGATGGGAAGAGAAGTTATATAGTAGAAAACCAAAATGTCAAATTACTCCAGCTCTCTTTAAGCGTGTCACTAGTGACTATATATACTATATGTCCGCAGCAGGATCACCTTCGGTGAAAAAAACAAACACTATCACTACGCTCGCCACTACACTCGCCTTCTGTCCGGCCGCCAGCTTCGAGTCGAAACCAGCAGGGCCTCGGAGTAATCCGTTCAAAACCACCGGTGAATCCGTGTTTGCGGAAGAGGCGCCAGAGATCTGATAGCATCACTGATGGCGGGTAGGGTGTCCTGAAGAGAACCCAAAAAGGGAAACGGATTTGAGTTTGGAGCTTCTTGGGAGTTCCCGTCCAGCGTCTCACCGTCTCACTTTTCCAGGTGCTCAGTTCTGAAAAACCAAGCAGCCCCTCTGTCATCGACCGCTGGGTGAGGATGCGTCATGTTCTCCTACCTGCTTACAGTTATTAAAAAAACCAAAAGAAAAGGGCCGCCCCGAAAAAGGCACTCCGGCACCTTTCTGTGGAAGTACACCTCCGTTCGACCCCCCGAAAAGGAGGCAACTCCCACTTGCAAGCACCCGTTGCCCCCGGAACGTCGCGTCCGATCGCTCCTAGTAGCGACGCCCTTCACTCCTACTCCCCTAAGATCCGGTCTTCTCCAGCCATCCCGACGATCCAGTGAGACGTCCCGATGCGTTTCATCCCAAGGCGCGCTTGGTCATCCCACGCACAATGAGGCTGACCTGAGACCGGTCGGAGCTCGAATGGACGAACCAACGTACCGCACGGTTCGTAGCCTTATGGACCGTACCTGACGGCACCAATACAGCTATGTCAGTATGTCACAGTTGACTAACTCAGTTTTTTCTTCGATCTCTGCCAACTACTTAGCTACTGGTCTTCCTCGGTCTGCCGTCTGCGCCCGGCGCCGGCCGGCGCCCCGGCCGATACCAAGTAGATGACTCCGTAGCATCCCAAGACCATCCACCTGAGTCTCCAAGCCGAGAAGGTCTCGACCACTGCGCGACCGTAGCTTACGACGATGGGAAACAAAAGCTGATTGGCCCGGGAGAGGAGGTGTGGCTGATTTGGAGCCGCCTCTGGTGCGCCCTGGTTTCAAAAGAAATGAGCATTCGCAGCACCAAACATGTGGCAGATCCGAGCATTCATAGCCATCACCCTGAACCTGAGATGCAAACTCCGATCGGATCATCGCTTCTTCTGCCTCACCCAGGCAGTGAGTGCTGAAAATTCATCACGCAAATGGCTAATCATCCGAATCCAATGGTTGCCCCAAACTGCTTGCAGCAACGCATATTCCAATGAAAACTGGACGTGTTTTTCCATGTGTGCTTTTTCTTGTTGTTTTCCGCTTCTGCCCTGAGGCTCCGTCGAGCATCCCTAAAGATTTCCTGGGGTGATGCGCTGACTCCTTCAGCCTCGGACAAGCGCCAGCAACGTAGCCCGACCTTTTCGATGTTTCCTTCTCCCATCTTCCAAATTCAGCAGGTTCGCTGCCATTGCTGGGACTGAATTCAAGTTGATCGCTCCCTCCTGACAGCTTTGGCACCTCAGCTTCTTGGCTCAGCTTCCGACACCTCAGCTTCCTGGCTCAGCTGGCGCTTTCCGGCGCTTCTTCCGACCATCAAGGACTCGACGAGATCCCAACAGACCCCATGCGTACCGATGAGCTTCGTGCGCACCAAGCAAAGGCGGAAGACTTCCGGAAGAGCAGAGGACATGGCGAAACAGACCCCATCTCCCACACGACTGCATCGTCCTATGGTCCTGGCGAGTAGATGGCGAGGGCACGAGGCTTGGGGTTGTGCCATCGGCCATCTACACATTCTGCATTAGCTTGCTTCTACAGCATTCCCTGCTTCCCCGACCTTCGTTGAGGCATCCGTTTCTCGGCGATTGAGCGACAAGGACCTCGGCCGGCTCCCGGATCAAGCCGGGAGCAGTGGAAGAAGGTGAAGCTCTACTCAGGTCAAAAATTTGGTGCCAATTCTTGTCTACAGGGGCTGCTTGGATGCTGTGAACGGATGTTCAAGGATCTCCACAAATCTATGACTCAAAGGGCTGTGAGACTCTGAAAGCTCTCACCCGCACTGGGTCAACATGAGACGTTTTCCTGTGCCACGTCAGATTTTTTGGGATCTTCGCAAGTTATCCCCATTTTGGGGGGTTGGGGAGGAGTTCAATGAAAAAACATCGAGTATATGATAAGAGTGCTATGGGCCGGTATAATGTAGCACCGTGCAAGTTGTTTGCCACCTTCTCCGCCAGACCCTCCAGACCCTCCAGGCAGCCCCCACGTCTGCAAAAGCCGAACGTCCAGTACGTCTTCCTGTCGAATGCCGTCTTCGAACAAGCACTTCGATTTTTCGGTTGCTTCCCCACCTCCACTCGATGGAAAAGGACATGTCAAGGATTCCCATCCGAAATCCGTACAACTCCAAACAGAAGTCCGAAGTCAAACCAAACCCAATACTCATCATGCGCTATATAAGTGCAGTTCGACTATCTTTGGCACCACCGACGTCAAGGACATTCCTAGAATCGGGCCATCCAATCGAATCTAGATAGTCCAACCAGTTCCAGCCACTAGACTCTTCAAGACAGTGATGCAAGTCCTCAGTGGAAATCCTAGAAAAGTCATTATGGTCATCTGGGTCAAAAAGAAATGTTTCAAGCAGAGCCCTGGCGACCTTGGCGACGGCCTCCAACGCCGCGCCCGCGCGCCCGCGCGCCCGCGCGCCCGCGCCCGCACGCCTCGCAGGCACCTCAGGTCCGGTCCCCGGGACGCGGACGGAGAACGGCGGTCCGACCGGTGACAAGCGAGGTCCAACGCCCCAGACCTGAAAAACATCTTCGGCTCGGCCGCGCCCAGGCGCGCCCACTCAGGCTGCGGCTCAGGTCCTGGGCCTGGGCGTGCAAGCGGCTTCGGTTTCGGCCCCGGCTTCGGACGCGCCAAGAGAGGCGAAGGACGACTGAGGAGCCTCACCACAGCTGAGCGCCACAGCGCCAGCAGTGCCCAAGCGAAGATATGAAAACGAAGAGCCATTTGGACCTGCCAGCGGCGCGAGCCTGGAGATCAAAAGCCTCATCCCTCCACTGGATGGGAAGACAATGGAGAAAGAGAGATCGAGGACGATGAGGAAAAGACTCGTCACGCAGTGCTCATGTCACGTGGACTCTGGATGCTTTGCCGGAGCCATTGAAGCTCGGCTCCGGCCCCTTGACTTGCACCACCTGGACCCCCAAGCAGCGCGAGTCTCCGGTGTGAAGTTCCCTCAACAGCCTCGGACTCTCTTCAGCAAAGGTTCGATGAAGGCCCACGGCGTATCCCGTGAACAGAGCGCGGGGGCGGGTCGCTTCGAGAGGTTTTCGACTGCCCCACCCCCGTGCCTGAGCCAAGCAGTAGGAAATAGATGGAAATCGTAGGAACTTAGAACTCACATCAAACACCAACTCAAGAAGCCACGCAACATGCATTTTTAGCGTGACCTCTGATAACTTGGATGTTGAGCTCTTGTTGATGCGTCATGGGATTCAACAGAACAGGGGTCGGAACTCTTCAGGCCACACGTTCCCTTTCACACTTTTCAATGTTCAAAGTCCCTCACATCACACACGCACACTTTCCCTTTCGGAGGCTTTCCCCTTCGCTCATGGCATCTCAGGGTGGAGGTTTTTTGGCAAATGTCCTGAAAATCAGCAGCAGTCGACCCCGGCAATTTCCAGTGCCTTTAGTGATCTTTAGTGCGCTATAGAGTTCAGTTCCCAAACCAAGCACGGCGGACATCAACCACCTGCTCACGCTCTGAGGGGCTGGCCAAAAACAGCATCTCATTCGAGGACTGTGCCAGAAAGCATTGCCGCAAGGGCTTACTTGCTGCAAAAGAGTCAGATACACAACATCGATGCTATTGTTCACAGGTGATGAAGCCAGCTTCCAGGCGAAATGTTCACCACACTGCCTTCATGGACGTGAACTGGCTTGTTAATGGCACACGGCCTTCGCGAAATCAGCTCCTTCACCCGTTCAAGGCAGCAAGTCTTGGCATGGCCTACTTGAGAAGCAGCCCCGGACATGAACAGTCAAACGAAACAAGATGGAGCCCACGAACCCGAATGCAAACACGTTCCAAAAGCTACATATGTCCAAATGACACTCTTGTAGGACACTCTTGTGGGACACTCTTGTGGGACACTCTTGTGGGGCACTCTTGTGGGGCACTCTTGTGGCACACTGTTGTAGGAAACTCTTGTAGGACACACTCTTGTAGGACACACTCTTGTGGGACACTGTTGCGGGACACTCTTGCGGGACACTCCTAAGGGACACTCTTGTGAGACACTCTTGCGGGACACTGTTGCGGGACACTCTTGTGGGACATGTGGGACACTCATTTGGGACACTCTTGTGGGACACTCTTGTGGGACACTCTTGCAGGACACTCTTGTGGTACACTCTTGTGGGACACTCCTGTGGGACACTCTTGTGGGACACTCTTGTGGGACACTCTTGTGGGACACTCATTTGGGACACTCTTGCGGGACACTCTTGTGGGACACTCTTGTGGGACACTCTTAAGGGACACTCTTGTGAGACACTCTTGCGGGACACTGTTGCGGGACACTCTTGTGGGACACTCCTGTGGGACGTCCTGGCACACTCTTGCGGGACACTCTTGTGGGACACTCTTGTAGGACACTCTTGTGGGACACTCTTGTGGGACACTCTTATAGGACACCCTTGTGGGACAGTCTTGTAGGACACTCTTGTAGGACACTCTTGTGGGACACTCTTGTGGGACACTCTTGTGGGACACTCTTGTGGGACACTCTTGTGGGACACTCTTGTAGGAAACTCTTGTGGGACACTCTTGTAGGACACTCTTGTGGGACACTCTTGTAGGGCACTCTTTTGGGACACTCTTGTGGGACACTCTTGTAGGAAACTCTTGTGGGACACTCTTGTGACACACTCGTGTAGGACACTCTTGTGGGATACTCTTGTGGGACACTCTTGTGGGACACACTCTTGTGGGACACTGTTGCGGGACACTCTTGCGGGACACTCTTAAGGGACACTCTTGCGGGACACTCTTGCGGGACACTCTTGTGGGACACTCCTGTGGGACACTCATTTGGGACACTCTTGCGGGACACTCTTGTGGGACACTCTTGTAGGACACTCTTGTGGGACACTCTTGGGGACACTCTTTTAGGACACTCTTGTGGGACACTCTTAACTCTTGTGAGTCACTCTTGTGGGACATGGTTGCGGGACACTCTTGTGGGACACTCTTGTGAGACACTCTTACGGGACACTCTTGTAGGACACTCTTGTGGGACACTCTTGTAGGACACTCTTGTGGGACACTCTTACGGGACACTCTTGTTGCACACTCTTCTAGGACACTCTTGTGGGTCACTCTTGTGGGACACTCTTGTCGGACACTCTTGTGGGACACCCTTGTGGGACACTCTTGTGGGACACTCTTGTGGGACACTCATACGGGACACTCTTGTGGGACACTCTTGTGGGACACTCTTGTGGGACATGCGGGACACTCTTGTGGGACACTCTTGTGGGACACTCATGGGGGACACTCTTGTGGGACACTCTTGTGGGACACTCTTGTAGGACACTCTTGTGTTGTGGGACACTCTTGTGGGACACTCTTGTGGGGCACTGTTGTAGGAAGCTCTTGTGGGACACTCTTGTAGGACACTCTGAGCGTTTCGTACGAGACTTCCTCCAAAAGTCACACGCCAAGTCTCCAAAACGAGCGTTTCGTACGAGACTTCCTCAAAAACTCACATGTCAAAGTCTGCAAACGAACGTTTCGCACGAGACTTCCTCCAAAAGTCCAGCGGAAACACCCATCGGAGCACACACATCACGCAGCCCTGCCAAGCAGTTTCGCGATTCCAGCCCCTCGAAACGACACCCGCTCAAACGCCAATCCCAATGTGACAGCGACATTCACCTCTACCACAACTCACAACCTCCCGATTCCCTGCACCGGCCACGAATCTTTCCGCGTCCACACGTCTAACGCGCACAAAGTACTGCACCTGCCACGAAATGTCACCTCCGTCACACATCGCAACCTCACGATTCCCTGCGCCTGCCACGAAAATCCCACTTCCACACCTCAAAGCCCGCACAAAGTCCTGCGCCTGCCACGAAAAGTAACAATGTCATCTCATGTGAGCTTCAACAAAATTCGAACCACACCACACGTTTGGAATGATTTCGACCCGTTCTGAGCACACTCCCATCCACCAAAATCGGCATTTCAGCTGAGACATGTCACACGAAAACAGAGCTTCGATGCCACACCCTGAAACGCAAATCCCAATGGCACGGCCACATGCAACACCCCAAAAACACGACTCTCCAAACGCTAATCCCGATGGAACTGCGTAGCAAACTGCGGATCTCACAAAACGCTGCGCCTGTGCAGCGAAATGCATCACGCTTCTTGCGCGACATGTCATTTTCACGCAAATCACAATGGACTCGCGTCGCAAACTAACACGTGACACATCCATGAATAGTCACTTGCAAAAGCTTCCCCCAATGGCAGCGCCTTAGCGCTCTACCGCGAACGGTTGCGGACGGTTGCGGACGGTTGCGGACGGTTGCGAACATAGAAACAACGGGTCGCGAACAAGGCTCTACCCCCAGACCCCCAAAGAGTTAAACGAGAACCCTTCGCTACGCATTCGGGAAAAAAATGCTTGGCTCTGGGTCGCACATCTCTCTAGCCCTTCAAGTCCATGAAGAATGAGTACTAATTACTAATTTGGTTGCCTGGTGGGAAAGCGGCGGTGAGATGTTGACAGTAAGAAGGAATGTAACATGGTTGCCATTTTGTCGGCGTTCCAGAAGTTCCTGCTCGTGCGCAGTTCTTCAGGTCACTTCTTGCTCTTGTCCTTGCCTGCGTTGTCTACTCTAGACCTTGACAGCGTCCGAGATTGCACACTCACCATGCCCCAACTCGAAAACAAAAGAGGTATAGCAAGGCTGCCGGCTCGCGGGATCAGAATCCTCGCGGTTGGAATGACGTGGCAAGCCATGCTCTGCTTGTGCACGCCGTACGAGGCGCGCGCATGTCAAGCAAAAGTTTACATTCCAGGGTGGGACAGTGCCTCTGTTTAGGCAAGCCTGTCGTGCAAGTGAAAAACAGCACTAAGGGCTATCACTGATGTAAGCGTATTGAAACCAAATTCGCAGCTTAGATGCGGTAAGACTTTGAGAGGCATGACTTGAAAAGGCGGATCAGTTATTAGATGTTATTAGAGTCACAAACAAGCCCATCTCTGACCCTTGCTTCAATCTGAATTAGGCCATATTACTCTTGTGCTATGCCTCGAAGGGAGGCCTTTCGCAATGGCATGACCAAGCAGCCACGGTCGGACCGAGCCAACTGCATGAGTGCCCTGGTGCGGTTGTCACAGCCACCCACCCTGAACTCAAACGGGTCGCGCACTCAACCCGATGTCACGCGGCGGCTCTGCGTAGGATCCGCCTCAGAGCACCCCAACTGGTCCATGTCCATGTAGAACCAAGAGAGGTTAAGTGACCTGAACTAGGACCCTACTGGGGTACCTATGGGATAGTCTACAGGGTCCTTCAACCTTTGTTGGAATTCCCATGAAAAAAACAGGTCGTAACCTCCAGACTTCCATCGCGCGCTCATTCGCCCATGCGTTTGACCTCCAGTTCTTCTGGCCGCTTCGTGCGTCGCCGCGCGTGAGGGTCCTCCCATTTGCAAAAAACAACGCCATCCAAAAAATGGTTCCTGGCTCGGCCTTTCGCGCTCCTGGTGCGACCAGGGTCCTCCCCCGACCCCTTCGTCCGAGCTGGCGCGGCAGCGGCGGACGGCACGCGGCGTGGCATCCAGGGCGCACTTCGGCGACCCCGTGCAGAATGGGCACCGCTCTTGGTCATCCCCATCTGGGCAGGTCGCGGGTGATGTGGTTTTTTGTGGTGGGGGGGGGAGGCGTAAGCTCGTCGACCGGTCTCAAATTAGGTCTCTAATTTCATCAAGGCTTTGAGCTGGGTATAGCTGGGTTATATACATAACTTTCAGGTGTCCATTAACAATCCAAAGGCAGATCAGCACTTTCACACGCTGCCGCCACCCCGTGCTGGCCGTGTTCCCGCACATGTTCCCGCACCTGCATCTTGCTGGCCGTCAGCAGGGGATTCGGCTTTTTGGATGCAATGGAATGGTGACCTGTAGGCGATGACTGAATTCGCAAGCACATCAAAAGCCATACCCAGGCTGTTGCAGAAGAAAAGACTAAAGAGCCTCCCCAAAATAAAATAAAAGATAGAAATCCTTCGAATCCCATCCCTTCACCTGAAAACACCGTCCGTGAGGTGGCCAACGCCTGAAGCCCCATGGAGTCGGCTCCACAGCCTCGGCGCTCGGGGGTTCCAGCGCCAGCTGAAAGCCGCGGGGTGGGCGGAAGATCTTTGATCAAAACAACCCTGGAGAGGTTTTTCCAGGTCGGTTGAAACAGATTTTAACAAGTTTAAAGTCATTATAAGTTATATATCTCTATATGCTTTGTTATTTCAATGATTTTCTATATACCTTTCGTATATACGTTTTATGAGTTATATGTATCCCTACCAGCGATAGCTTGGGGTTGTACATTCTTTCGGCGGCTCGGATAGCGCGCCGTCGGATCCACGGCCGGCGGCGGGGGACACCGGCGTCTCGGTCATGGTTGGTGTCTCGGTACATCTGGTTGCATCGTTTTTGGCACGTCTGTGGCTTGCACGTCTATTATGGTACATCTATGTTGGTGAACTATGGGATGGCATTTCAAGTTGTGCTTTTTGTTTTTTGCAAGTTGTGCTCCACCCATTCCATATGTGGAGAAAATCATCGAACAACGCAGACCCAAAACATGAAGCCAGATCTTGGTGGATGCTTTGCTGTTGAGGTTGTCAGCTGGGCTGGTTTAGTCTTTATCTCTGGCCTCTGAAAAATGTTTCTGTGAGTTCGCACGCCGTCGAACTTGAAGTTGAACTTGAACATAGGATGTTCGCACCGCAGGGCGGGCTTAGCATGCCAAAAGGGGCGTACGGCCGTTGTCGCTTCGGCGACTCATTTCGCATTTCGTGGTTGGTCTTCGTTTTCCTCCACGCTACACGTAGTTCTTCGGACACTACCTCTGTTTTGACATTGGTAGCGGAGCCCGAGCCCTTCCAGGGCGAGGGCTCCCGCTGCGGACTTCGCTTGCGCGAGCTAAGCGTTCTGGACAAGACCTTGGTCACCTACCCTCTGCCGAGTTTGCTTCGCTCCTCGCACCCGACCTCTTTGAACAACACCCTTGGGAAAGGAGCTACAGCGTGTTCTTTGACCTCATCGATGTCACAGAAGAAAGGTCAGCAAAAGGGAAAGGCCCAGGGCTCCGGAACGAGCTCGACTGAGGACACCTCCTACACTGATGTCCGCGACAGCTATGTGCCACTGTCGTGAATGGCGCCAGCGTGTGCAGCTCTACTACCGGAAGATGACGCTGGCAAAGAAGGCGAGGGGGTCCTCAACATCGTTGGGAGCTTCAAGGGGGTGGTCTGGCGTTTGTTCGAGGATTGGCCTTTGGACCACTTCGACAAGGACGATGCCTTTGAGACCATCTTGAAGATTCTGGACAGCAACTTCTCGTATGATCAACGAGTCCAGCTACCTTCGGACTTTGAAGGATACAATCTCCTGACCTATGTCAAAGACCATGAGGAGGCCTACAGGAAGCTCCTACAACATAAAGTATCCCTTCCTGACTCCGTTCAAGGATGGCACTTGCTGCGCCGTGCTGCTCTGACGAAGGAACAACGACAGCTGATCACATTGAAGGCACCCACATTGGAGAAAGCCGCGATCATCGAGGCGCTCTACCTCATTTTTGGTCAAGACTACAAAGCCGGAGGCTGGAATCACGATCGCAACAAGCGCTTCCAGAGGTGGGGCAACAGCAGTCGGGCCTATGCAGCACAAGATGAATGGTGGGAAGGTGAAGACTCCGGTTGGGAAGATGAGACCGGCTACTATGAAGGTGATGAACAGGTAGCCGACTATGACTACGACTATGAGGAGGAGGAGTTCGATGCCGATGCTGCCTACTATGGTGAGGAACCCTGGCCAGATGAAAATGGTGAGACTGGCAGCCCTGAACGTCTCGCCGATGAGTATGACACGGCATTCGCCTCCTACACCGATGCCAAACGAAGATTCAACGAGTTGAAGATGGCTCGAGGTTTTCTGCCGGTTGTGGCCTTGGCGGGCTGTCATGGCCAACACTTCGTCCTCATCGAGCCCTTCGCACTGGCAGAAGAAATGGAAAGGAAAAGGCGGCAAGTCGAAAGGAAAACCAAGTGCCACCATCCGATACCCTCCACAAGGAGCTGGGAAAAGTGATCCTAAGGGCAGAGCCAAAGCCAACATGACCTGTCTCAGGTGTGGACAACAAGGCCACTGGGCAGCCAACTGTCCTCAAAGCGCCTCAAAAGGCTCTGGTGTTAAGCGCCCAGCCCCCACTGAGGGCATGGCACAAGTCAAGGAAGAGGAGCAGGGCATGATCATCTTCGAGGACCAAAATGGACATCAACGCCCTGACTGTGTCATGTTGGACCCTGGAGCAAGCGCTTTTCTGGCTGGCTATGGTCCCTTCCGCCGATTCCTGCAACACCTGAAGGATGACTGCCAATTCCCGATCGACAAGATCAAGATGACTCGTGGCAGACGCCGTTTCCAGTTCGGTGGAGATGCAGCTTCATGGTCAACTTGGAGCGCTCACCTTCCAGTGTTTTTGGATGGTCGATATGGCACCGTGCAACTGTTCTTGCTTCCAGGACACACACCAATGCTCTATGGGGATGACCATGGACTTTGCTCTTCGCAGGGTTCGCTTCGGCTCTGGTGGTTGGCGACAAGCCACACTTGGTCGACAGGGTGAGTACCTCCTGTCACTCACTGACAAGCACTCCCTCATTGAGTATGACCCGGATCAACCAGAGTACTGCCTTAAGACCGCAGAAGCCGATCTGGATCAGGAGGAGGACGTTCCACTGTCAGAGTTCGAGAAGGAAGAATGCGGGTTCTGCGTCAATGATCCTGAAGCAGCTCAGCACCATGCGCACACCAAGGCACTCCGACGGCATGATCTCAGAACCATGGACATCCACCTGAACACCCATTTGAATGAGCTCTCAGCCTACGTCACCAAGCACCTTCATCCAGCGGAACCTCGACGGAAGCTCTGGGAGGTGTACTGTGGCGCTTCTCGCACTTCACAGGTGGCGGAAACTCTCGGCATGGAAGTGCGAAAGTTCTCCTATGAGACCGGCTGGGATTTCAACAAGCTGGATCACCAGCGTGCCTTTCTTGAACTACAAGATGAAGAATGTCCTGACGAAGTTCTCCTGGCACCTGAGTGCAAACTCTGGAGCAAGATGCAATCCCTTGGAAGACGCACCCCGGCTCAACAGGAAGCCCTTCGTGCTGCTCGACAACACCATCATGACCGTCACCTGATGTTTGTCCGGAGAGCATACCTTGGTCAAGTGCACAATGGCCGCCACGGACACATCGAACAGCCCAAGCGCGCACTCTCCTGGCGCACTCGTGCCTTCAGGGATTTGCCAGGTCGTCGAGCAGACTTTGATCAATGCCGCTATGGAGCAACCTGTCTGGACACCGATGGACAATGGAGGCCAGTCAAGAAAAGCACCTCACTGCTCACCACCAAGCAGGCTATCCAAGACGTCATGACCCTCCAGTGTCAAGGCGATCACCAACATTGTGCCCTAGAAGGACATGCCATTGGCTTTGGATCTCGCACCAAGTACCTGGAGGAGTACCAACCGGCACTCGCCGCCACCCTGGCAGGCGCAATGGCCGTCGCAGAAGTTCCACAGGCTTGGGAAACTGGCTACATGACTGCAGAGCAGAAGATCGTGACGGGCAACTTGATCCGACTTCGCACCACCGTCAAACAGGATGCCATTAGGACGGTTCAACGACTTCATCGCAACCTTGGTCATCCTGGGCCCACTGAACTTGCCGAGCTGCTTGCGACAAGAGGAGCCAGTGAGGCGGTGATCGAAGCAGCCCGCAACTATGTTTGCTCTGCCTGTGCGAAATACAAGAAGCCTGGAGATGCTGCACCTGCATCTATGCCACAGACTGCCACTTTCAACCAGATCCTTCAAGCCGATGTCTTTTGGATTCGGATGGGCAAGGACAAGTACCCGATCCTCAGCGTGGTTGACATGGCAACCAGGTACACCTCAGCTCACCTGCTGCGGAATGAGCAATCTGAGGAGTACATCAAGGCTTTGGAGCGCTGTTGGCTTTCCACCTTCGGGCCACCACAACGCCTCATCACTGACGAAGGTCGCCCGTGGCTAAGTCGCACTTTTGAGGAATGGAGTTCTGCATGAGCGTTTGGCCGTCGTCGAACGACGACATGCACTGTTGCGCAAGGCAGTGGAGATCTACTGTTCTGACCAACACCTCAACAACGCCAAGGGCATCAAAGAAGCCTTGATCTACTGTGTCCCTCAGCTCAACGGCAGCAATACAGTGGCCGGCTTCTCACCCGCACAATGGGTACTGGGCTATCAACCTCAGTTGGCTGGCAGCCTTCTCGCGGACACCTTCAAGCCAGTCCACTTTGGCGGCCACGAGGACTTCGAACTGACCCTGGCTCGCCGCAGTGCCGCTCAAAAGGCCATGATCGAGGCCGATGCTGACAAGAGACTCCGACGGGCACTCGGGGCAAAATACAAGGGCCTCAACTCTGAGTACAACCTTGGACAACAGGTTTGGTTCTGGAGAGATGCACCTCAACCCGACTTGGTGAAAATCAGATGGCTGGGTCCAGCACATGTCGTCATGAAGGAGCACAAGAAAGATGGTGAAGGCCAAGATCGAGTCCATGTCTACTGGCTGGCCTATAAGACTCAGCTCATCAGATGTGCACCTCACCATGTCAGAGCTGACATCAAGGGCTCTCAACATGCCTTGGATAATGTACAGGCAGCACTCACCACCGTGCGTCAGCTCAAGTCCCGAGGTGTCACTCGATACTACGACCTTCACCAGCTCAACAAGAACAACCTGGTGGACGTGGACAGTGATGCTCACATGGATGATCCTGCAGGAGACCTCATTGAAGAAGACTCAGATCACGAGCTGGCACCTCCCCACAGGCCTCGCCTTCTGCCACCTGGTGCTGAGGTCAACCCAGAGGCACCCCGAAGAGCGATGCCGACCGCTGATCCACAGGAATCGCAAGAGCTGCCCATGGTCGACTTGGAGGATTACACTCCGACATCCCGTGCCGATGGAAGTCCACAAGCTTCAGCACCCAATCCCTTTGAGATGATGCCAGCTGCACCAGACACTCCACAGCCGGTAGGACCGGCGGCTCCACCGTTTTTGCCACGGGTACCGAGCAGCATTGCATCCATCTCTGAACCCAGTGAAGAGCCACCGGCTCAAACAGCACCACAAACACCAGCGGACTTCCTTCACAGCTCGGGTCAACAAGGAGCGGTTCCGCCCACAACACCGGCTCTGGACTCCATCACTGCCGAGCTCTATGAACCTGCCGCTGGAGAGAGCTTCGAACAGAGACGTCTCCGATTGAACCGACAGGAGACAATCAGCTTTGCACCTCTCCGACATCGCACTAGGACTGAGGTGACGCCATATCCAGTGCCCGAGACGGCTCCAGCTGCACCGTCCACTGATGATCTTGCAGGTCAGGCCTTTCATGTGGACGACATTGATACGAAGATGATCCCTGCTGGTTGGACGATGGATGAGCATGGATATCTGCAGCTTACTGATCGGGCCACAGACTTCTGGGAGATCCGTGCCGGCTGCTTGATTCGGCATCATGTTGTACCACGACGTGGACGTCTTCACATCGACCACCTGCCGAAGGACTGCCCTATCGAACATGACCAGCTGGATAGAGTGAGAGTCACTGTGGTGCACCAGGTCAATGGGAAGAGCCGACTTCACACCGATGCCGGGATAGACAGTTCTCCACCTCCTGAAGTCTCTACATCTTGGACGGGCGCCACCATCTTCCAGATCAATGGTTCCACCAGAAAAGAGATGGCGATGTACAGTGGCCAAGGGCGGCAGCACTACACGAGTGCGAAACAGCAGGGCAAAGAACAGAAGTTGGCACGCCAGAAGAAGTTCAAGAAAGACAAGAATGGCGTGAATGAACGACTCCTTGGACCACACGAAAGGGCCATGCTCAAAGAAGCCAAGGTGAAGGAGTTGAATAGCTTCTTCGACCACCAAGGAGGCCGACCCTGCACGCACCCTGACCAGCCGCATCCTCTTGAAGTGGTCCAAGAACCCTGATGGGTCACCTCGGGCGAAGGCCCGCCTGATCGTCAGAGGATTTGCCGACCCTGATGCCCTAGCTGGACAAGTGGAAACATCCAGTCCGACTACAACCAGGCTGTCGAGGTCTGTGGTGCTCTCCCTGGCCGCCACCATGAAGTGGCGATTGTGGACCGCAGACGTCAGCACAGCTTTCCAAGACAGGAAACTCTGGGTCAAGCTTCCAGCTGAAGCGTTGGCACTTCTCGGAGGAGACGAAAACACGAAGATGCTGCTCTTGAAGCCGTGCTATGGACAAATCGATGCACCACGAGGCTGGTATCTGGAGGCAGTTGACCACCTTCGGAAACTGGGTCCACGACAGCATGCCCTTGACCCCTGCGCGTTCCTGATCTATGAGGTGGATGATGAGCACTACCAGAAGGACACCGCAGGGCAAGAGAAAACCAGCCACTTGGGTCCACAAGAATTGGTTGGCATGATCATCATGCACGTCGATGATTTGTTGGGTGCTGGCTGTCCATCGAGTCCGAGGTACAATGCAGTGAAACAACAACTTCAGGAGCATTTCTCATTTCGAGAATGGAAAGAATAAGAACCAATCCTGGAGTATTGTGGCTGCGAAATCGAGAAGACAGAGTCTGGCGGTCGCAAGCTTCACCAGGCCAAGTACCTCGAGGGAGGCACACATGAAAGTCTGCATGAGAGAGAGGTCACCCAACTACGTGGCCTACTTGGAAGTTTGCAATGGCCAGCGGTTCAGACTTCACCGCATCTGCAGTGCAGCACTTCTCAACTTGCTGCCCATGTGAACTATGGAACGGTGCAAACGTTGGCCGACTGCAACCGGCTACTGAAGTTCGCAAAAGAACACAAAGATGCAGGCCTGTGCTACAATCACTTGGGCCCTGCAGAACAGCTGAGGCTGGTGTGTTTCTTCGACGCCGGCTTCTCCTCTCGAGCAGACGGAACGTCCCAAGGTGGATACATTGTGATGTTCATCAACGAGCAACTCATGAGCTCTTCGGAGGAAGGGGACTATCATGTGGTCGACTGGCGATCCTTCAAAACTCCGAGGGTGTCGCGCTCTTCGTTGGGGGCCGAGGCTCAGGCTGGCGGACAAGCCAGCGATGCAGTGGATTTCATCTGCAGGTACTGGCATCACCTTCTTGAACCAGACCTTCCACTGCGAGACCTCCTCAAGGTCACTTCGACACTGAGGCCAGTGCTGATCACGGACGCGAAAGCGCTCTACGACTCCTACCACAGGGAGGGGACCACGTCTTCCGTGGTTGACAGAAGAATCTCAGTCGAGATTCGAGTGATGAAGGAGCGGCTGCAAGAACTTGGGGGCATTCTGAAGTGGGTAAGCTCTGATCGCCAGATCGCCGACGGGCTCACGAAGGAGGCTGCACGGTCGTTGATGGCCCTGCGCATCAAGCACCACCGCTTGAAGCTGACTTGGGACCCCGAGTACAAGGCCATGAAGAAAAAGACCGTCACTGAGAAGATCACCGCCTTGAAAGAATCAACGGCCACCACTCCCTCTGTGACCTGGCAGCGTGAGGGCCATGGCATGGACAATGAGGAGGTTCCGGAGCCCGATGAGAGAATCCTTGATGAATATGTCAACATGGCAACCACCGAGCATGTGATTCTGTATGTCTTCGCCTCAAGCCATGTCGGCCGCCGCCGCCAGGAGTATAACACACAGTGTCGCATCAAGAATGTCATGGTTTGGGTACTTTGGCTGAAGATGCTGCAGACCTGTGGCGCAGTTGGTGATCAATGTGAAAAGCAGCCACCTCCCTTTGGCAAGGACACCACACCGCTCAATGAGCTAGTGGTCAACGACGACAACTGGTTTCTCCCTGCACTTCTTTTGGTACAAGTGCTTCTTTTTGCAGTCATCTTCCTTTGTGGCTTTGTCAGTGGCCGACGAGGAAGCTCCACATCGTTGCCAACACCATCACCGGCAACTTCAGAGGCTTCAACACAGAAGGACGAAGCGATCGTCCCCTCGCGGCTACGTGAGCAGCTAGTGCTGGAACAACAGCGCAGTTCAGAGTACCGAGATGCGGCACTCGAGGCCAGACGGGCCATTGAGCTCAACTTGGAGGAGCGCAATGCATGGTACAGCGAAAGGCAACACCTCTTCACCATGCTTGGCTCAGCTCAGACACTGCTGCAAAGGTGCGAGAATGGCATCGGATCCCACATGAGTGTCTGTCCCACCACACGACCGGTCATCGCATCCAAGACTGGAGTGGCCTGGCACTATGAGCACTGTCAGACGGCACCTCAGATCAACGAGAGGAACCGCCTGGTGCTGCGTCACTGCTCGTTTTGTGGAGATCCAAGGTCACCACTTGATTTTCCAAATGCCTCACCGTCAGTGGGTGGGGGAAGCTTGCGCACCGATATGCAGGCTTGGTTCTTGGCCTATCAGGCCTTGATTTACTAGCACCATCACCGGTGTGAGTTCGCACGCCGTCGAACTTGAAGTTGAACTTGAACATAGGATGTTCGCACCGCAGGGCGGGCTTAGCATGCCAAAAGGGGCGTACGGCCGTTGTCGCTTCGGCGACTCAATTCGCATTTCGTGGTTGGTCTTCGTTTTCCTCCACGCTACACGTAGTTCTTCGGACATTACCTCTGTTTTGACAGTTTGCTTATTTTGCCCTTGCTGTTGATCTCTTGCTTTACTGATGATGGAAGGATGCCGAAGGCATCCGAAGGCTCGTGGCCGTGGGTGGGGACACGTAGACGTCGAAGTTGGGCACTGTGTTGGCTGCGCAGGCGCAAGTGTTGATCTTACTTGGCGGGCTGCCTGGGTCGGGTAGGTTACAGTAAGTCAAATATTGGTTGGCTCACTGGCCGGTGGCTGGTGAGTGTTGGGGATCTTGGGCCTTGGTGAAGGCACCAAACGGTCACCCTTCCTGAGGCCCATCCAGACCAACCCACCAGCAATGTGTGCCCCACAGCCATCGACCTTCACCTGTCCCAGTAGCTTGGCCGGGTTGTCGTCGTTCCCCGTGTCGCGCATCGTGGCCAAAAGCACCTCGCACCTGGAAGTGTCTTCGAACGGCCATGAACAGGGCGGTGACCGGCTGGTGACCGGCTGGGAGAATGAAGGAGACATAACGATAGATCTGGCAAGATACCCCCCGTTTCACTTCTGATGTTCTGACCGACCGGAGCCTGCCCTCGGCACTTTTTTGCATCACTCGGCCGACCTTGTCTGTGACCAGTACTGCTTTGCAGCATGTCACTGGCACCCCTTCATGGGTGCCACAAGGGAGCAGGCAGGCCCTAGAGGACACGAATTGGCATTTAGCACCCTCAAAGAAGCCACCCCGCATGACATCGACAGGGTCATGCGGTCATGGGGGGCAAAGGACTTAAGAACATCAATGAAAATCAATGACAAAGTGATCAATTATTTCGTGGAGGCTGCATTCTGGAGGCACATGACAGATCAGAATCCATGATGTTCCATGGGCCAACGAAGAGACCCTTTCCCGATCTTTGAGAGCACATACTGTTTCTCTACTGCTGAGAGCTCGGGGATTGCTCATAAGCGGAGATGGGGGCAGTAGGGCGTCTTGGTCTTGTTCATATGATCGACAAAGAGGCACACATCACAGGACTGTTTCCCAAATTTATCCACTGGCCTGGAGCAAAACGGCACACAACACTTTGGACTGGGGAAAGGCTCGTCAATGACTCAAGCACAAGCCTCCACCATCCCACCCCACCTCTGAAAAATACAAAACCCCCAAGAAGAAGACTTCCGGAAGTGAGGAGACCAACCTTTCTCCAACACAAAAATCCCGACCAAAAGCTCTTTTCAAGACCCCGCAGCCTTTGTGCCGTCTTCCACCTGGAGCCATAGATCTGGTTGCACGTCATGGGCACCACGAAATCCCGCACGGCCGGATGGATCTCCCGCGGGGCACGCTCCAGTGGCGCCAGCGCCGCGCCGCGGGGGTCGTCGAAGGCGCGACTGCCCAGGACGCGGATGGACTCTCGAACGCCTTCCTCCTCGGTCGACGACCGCGCGGGGAACGTGTGCGGAATGAAGCAGGCGGAAGGACGCGACGCACATGCTTCCGAGCACCTACATGCCCACGCAACCAAATATAAGATATGTCTCACACATTCTCACACCACATCCTCCGGCCACAACTCCCACCGATCATTTCTTCTGCCTTTGGAGGCCATTTTCTCCCTCAACTCTCTCTGGCTCGCGCATCCGGAATCCGCCCCAAGGCACGGTGAGCATACACGGCGAGCTCAGCGAGCGGCCCAAGTCCACGGCTTTCGGGGGCGCCAAATCCGCCGCCGATCTGCGGGAGTCCTTCCTCGGGACCCGAGCACCGGGGCAGGGGGAAAGGTCAGGAGGTCCATGGCCAGCCACGGCCGTGCGGTGGGTGGATGTCCATGGCCGTCACGGCGACGGAGTGGGAGGAGGTACCTGTGGCCTAGGTTCCTGGGGGGCCAGGGGAACTATAGTAGATGGACCAAATATTCAAACCCCTCAGCTGTCAGCAACCCCCGACCCGCAAAGGTCAATGTCGAACACGACTTCGTTGAATTTGTGTTGCCAAGGTTTGTTTCGTCCATTCACCGAGACACTCTGGCAGGCGCGCTCACATTCTGGGGCTTTGGGGCGGAAGGGGTCCAAGCGGTTTGAAAGGTTTGAGTAGTTCGTCCATCTATGGTAGTCACAGTTGATGGCTTGGTGGTTCGAAGATCCATCTGTCCAAAACTGCCACCATGTCCAGGCATGTCCAGGCTTCATGTCATAGCATATTACTGTAAGAGGAAAAGAACAAGGCCAATGCCGGCTCATGATTTCTTGAGCACGGGGGCCATTGGGGGCCCACCGAGAGGCCTGCGAAAATACGGGGAGCGTTTCTTGGGTCAGAAGACAAGAGGGAGATTACCAGCTCACAGATTGCAAGTTTGTTTCGACTCCTAACGCTGGGGACCACAAAGGAATGCAGTATTAAACAAGAATCTTGAAGACCCAATCCCAATCGCCAGGAGCTTGCCTTTGCGCCCTCAACAGCGCGCCCTTCGCTTTTTCCATGATGAACCGCTGAAACGGCAGCTCTACTATGCTTGAAGCCAAAAACGCATCACCCGGCAAATATGCTGTGCAGTTCGACTCTCCGTCTCAAACGGTATAGTTGTTTCACCTATCGCATCACTAAGCCGAGGTGAGTCTGCGGATCTCGGCGAGTCTCCGGATCCAGCGCTGCAGACTCCTTTAGGAAGCATCTCACTCAAAGCATCTCGAGTCCTTCAGGAACCTCCGACCTGCCAGAAAGCCCACACCTCAGCACGGCACCTCTCTTGATGGAGCTGCGCCACTTTGGCCAAGACCTCCCGAGCCGCTGCGGCCACCTGAAGGGCATGCCGGACGACCCAACCAAGCAGACCCCACGAACCAAAGAGCCCCACGAGCTAATGCAAACGCTTGATAGTCACACCCATACTGGAACTGCTCGACCATGCTGTGCTGGTTCTGAACTTACATGAGGGGAGTTGATATACATCCAGAGTGAAACATAGCTTGACCAGCTCAGATGTACTCCAGAGCTCAGGCCGTCTGGCTGCGCCACCGGAAAATCTTCCATTTCATGTGAAACACACCACATGCCTTACTCATGGACCCCATCCAGGCGAACAGATTCACCATCAGCCAGCCCCCGAAAACAGCCATGTTATAAATCCAGCAGGGCAGGTGAGCGCCTTGACCATCCCACACCGTCTCTTCCCATCCGCCGCCCCCCTGGTGCGGGCGGGTCTGACCGCCCGCCCCACCGCCTTCGTGGGAAGCTTTTGGAAGTTCTCCCCGACGGACTCGAAGACTTCGCAGCCCTTGGACCCTGAAACGACCGAAGGCAGGAACCGGACGTCGGACGTGGTTGAAGCCAACGGAAGGCCCAAGCCTTGGGCGGAGAAATAGGTCCAGGTTTAGAGATTTTAGAGGGATGTTCAAGCGTTTCATCCAAGGCTTGGCTGCAAACCAGTTCGGAAAAAACACGGAAAGCGGCGCAGCACCTTTTTGCGCGGCAGGGTAGCCAGAGCAGGTGTCGGCATGCCGGTGCCCGTGTGTAGCGGCGTTGCGCAGGCGCTGGGCAGTTTGTACAGAGGTTACCGCGGCGGAATTGGTCAGGTGCTTCTGCGAGAATGTCCTGGCGCACAATGCGAATTGGTACGGAAGGGGTTTGTTCTTCACCAGCAGGAAAGACATGGCATGGAAGATGGAACAAATGATAGCAGCTAGGAACACGATCGCTGGGCACAGCCCAGAAAGTTCATGGTCATGCATGGAGTGGACGAACATGTATGTAGTACGTGGAACTTTGCTCCATCGTCGGCATGGTCCCACTAAGGGCCACCAACCCATCATGAGAATCTGAAAAAAAAACAAAAAGAAATAAGCGACGTTCCTTTGCAAACGAAAATGTGGATGGATGGAGTCATGACAGGGGCATCCTCGATGCTCTCTCCAGATGGAAGCGTGGATGTTGCTCCACGCGAATCTGTATCCTGTGCAGGTTCAAGGTGGCAGAGTTCCAAAGCTGGACAATTAGCACAACCTGTGAGAACCTGCAAAAGAGCAACCTGTGAGAACCTGCAAATCGTCCAACTCGTCCTCTTTCTTGTTTCACTGCCTTGGTCAGTCTGGCCTCCTCGACCATATAAGGCCTAGACAAGTCCACGACCAACTGC